GTTCTGATCGACCTCGTCATGATAAAAGGAATGCTGAAAAAATCAGGTGAAAAAGCCGCAAGATGCGTCGAGGATCGCGATGGTCAACGGGGAACGCGGAGGAAGGAGAGGTAAAGATATGAGAAATGAATCTGTAGCACTGGTCAGTTGCATATTTCTTGAGTTGGAGTTCTTACTCACTGTCGCTGCAAGCTATGGGCAGGAATGATGAAATGTTTGATTCGCTGTGGAGAGTGGTGTATGAGAGAAGAAGAGATGAACACCATCCAAAGGTGTTCTAAGGCGGGGATCCGAAGATTCTCCGAGAGGCGTAGACTACGATGGAATCTCATGGAATGCGAATGCGTCAATGGCAGCCAAATATGGAGAACATGAGCTTCCACTCCACAGCTGTAGACTACCATCAGCCACCTCAGTCGAGAGACGCAATGATGAATTGGCGTATGGCTGCAGATCCCCCAGCATCTGCCCTCCTACGAGAGGGATTCCAGAGGGGGAAAATGAAAATTTGCAGCGAATAGTGGATTCTGCGTACCCTCACGAAGCGCTCAGACCGTGTGTAGAGACGCCATGGGTGGCGGAAGTGGAGATGTAGTGGGTTAGTGACGGCGGGTCGCTCTGGGGCGTGTGGGCCGGACAGGGGCGGCTCGCTTATGGCGGCCGATGCCGGTATAGTTTTGGAGCTTTACGGGCTGTAATCTTTCCGATAGGTATCGCTTCGGGGCTCCCCCACCCCACACACTCCACTCTTAGGGCGCGAAAAATTACATTCCCCATATTTTACGGTATCATGATCTAATCAATCTTTCAGCTTTGCCTTCTTGGGCTAGCGCCACGGGTGCATCCGCCGCTATCAATCAGGATGACATCTGTATACTGACGTTCGCAGGTGCTCCCTCCAGTGTAGACTGCCTGCTAGAGGTATACAAAAGTGAGGCAAAGGTAGTTAGAAGTGAATGACGTCGTTGTTGCAGCCTCGTTGAAGAAGAGAATCGATTGAAACAGGCTCTTGCACATCTTGTCATAGTCGCTAGAGCCAGGTATAGATTTGAACTTTACGTAGTGGAGACTCTTGCAGCCTCCACAACTCGTGAGGCTGCCTGCAGAGAGAGAGAATCTTCTAGAATGAACCTGCCTTTAGCTTTCCCAGATTGTTTTCTGCGTAGCTTCGCTTGGCATTCCCTTAGAATCAATTTCAGGCTGGCATTCTTCTTTCTTCCTTCAACCCTCCCGTCAAGCAGCAATGCCTGAGGGCAGTCATAGTTATCGTTTCAACTGGCAAAAACACGGTCAGCGATACCCTCATAACACACAATGCTGACTTTTAGAATAGGAATCAACAGTAATCAAGCCTGCACCAACCAGCCCACACAACAATCAAACCGATTTTAACCAATTAATTCACTTTTAATGACGATACCAACCCTCCTCCACCACCGCAACAACCGCCCCGCCGACCTCGCCAACATGTTTGGCGCCATCTTTCGCCGTCTTTTCTGCTGCGGCAGCCAGCAGGGGGAGGAGGAACCCACTCCTCCCCCGTCGTCAAGCCCGCGGTGCGGGAACCAGGGTGGTACACCCTCCACCGCGACCCCAACCCGCCCGCCAAAGCAGGGCAATTCGGCAACAGCAACCCCTACCTGGTCCCCCAGGACCACCCGAGATGGATCTACGACGCCAACTACAGATCCTGCCGCCGGTTGGGGGCACCATGGCTCGAAGACCCCTACGCGTAGGGGCGGGTGCGGGTACGACTAGTGCGAGACAGCAACCGACACCATAGTACGACAATATTACGACATTTACCAGGCCTACGAGCCGACTTTCTTTTGTTGAGGCGCACCCGTCAGTCAGAGCCAGAGCGGCCGCTCGACTTAAAAGGCTGGCGGGGGCGCAGCGGGATATCGCGAGTGGGATTTAGGCAGGAGAGCACTCCTGTACTGTTCGATGGCGACATCGAGCACATTGTGGTTACCCGGCCATAGTGCGGTCCTAGGGCTGAAATACTGCCTAACAGCACCGGTACAGTGAACTGTCCTGCTTCGCGTTGCTTCAGGTGGGTTGTCTGAGCACTCCTTTTCTGTGATGGCGACATCGCACAGCTGGTCTACGAGCCACGCTGCGGTCCTGGGGGCTGAAATATGCCCCGATAGCACCGGGAATGTGAACTCTCCCACCTCGCGGGTGTTGGATGGCGTTTGGAATTGGTGATTTGGGGACCGGGGCGTTTGGAGTTGGGGCGTTTGGAGTTTCGGCGTTTGGTGTTGGGGCGTTTGCAGCGTGTGCGACATATTACTACACCATTATTCTTATCGCGACGATATTCTTACGCCTTATTACTATACGACTATTGTTACGCCGGGTGGGTGGGAGCGGCGGTCCAGACGCGGGCGTCTGGATTCGGGGGCACAACATATCATTACACCACTATTCTTATCACCACCCTATTTTTACGCCGTTATTACTACTCCACCACTATTCTTACGCCCTATTTCTATTCAACTATTCTTATGCCGGGCGGGAGGGAGGGGGCATTCGAACGCTGGCGTCTGGATTCGGCGGTGCGACATATTTTTACGCCTCTATTACTATCACCACCGTATTCTTACACCATATTTCTACACAACTATTCTTACGCCGGGAGGGAGGGAGGCGCGGTTCGGATGCCGGCGTCTGGATTCGGCGGCACGACGCATTACTACACCACTATCACTATCACGACGATATTTTTACGCCGATATTGCTAGACCAGAGCTGCAAAACCAGGCAGCAAAGACAATCGCCACGACGCCGAGTGGCACGTCAAGACGCCCCCAGTCACACGACGGCCTCCTCGCCCCGTCGCAGCTACGAAATCAGGCTCCCTCCCGACGAGACCAGCGCTGTAGAGCCAGGCAGCGCCGACAAGGGCCATGACACCGGATGGCAAGCCAACGATAGCCACCCAAAGCGACGGCAGACAGTCACGTTACGATGGCTAGGTGGTACCGTCGCTCACGATGTTCTAGTTACATGCAGTCTGTTCATAGCCAATACAATGTTTTTCAATGGCACTGTTACTAGCACAGGCCTTCTTATGTGACGATGGTACTACAGCATGTATTCTTAGCAGCTATCATTCCTACTAAATCTATTCTTTTGTGGTGGGAATACAATAGAACATAATGATAGCAGCCACAATGAATACGAGACTTCACTCCTATCAACGAATACTCTGATCCGATTCATTCTTTCTTGCCCGTGGCAGCCAGCAAGGGTGGTCACTGTCGTCAAAATCACCAGCGAACCGCACCCAATCGTACCCGCTACAACCAACAAGGCCGACAATCAAGGCAATATAAAGCCATCGAACACGTCGGCGCCGGCTGCAACAAGTGACACCAAGATACGAACGTGGAGGCGAAGCGGGAAAGAACGAGGCTGGTGGGCTGCAGGGTAACAAGTAGCGTTCATATACCACCAGATAATGAAATTTGTTTGAATCTGCCTTCTTCTCGTTCCCTTTTGCGGCGTAAGAATAGTTGTGTAGTAATAAGGCGTAAAAATGCTGTCGCGATAGTAATAGTGGTGTAATAATATGTCTTGGAGGAGGAAGGCGTAAGAATAGTGTCGCAATAGTAATAATGGTGTAAGAATAGGTCGTGAAGAAAGAAGGCGTAAGAATGCTGTTGTGATAGTAATAGTGGTGTAAGAATAGGTCGTGAGAAGTAAGGCGTAAGAATACTGTTGCGATAGTGAGAGTGGTGTAATGATAGGTCTTGGAGGAAGACGGCGTAAGAATAGTGTCGCAATGGTAATAATGTCGTAAGAATAGGCCGCACACGCTGCAAACGCAGAGTTGACAGTAGAGACTCCCAAGCACACCTGTTACACCTCTTTCGATCAATGAGAGACTGACTCATCAATCAAACGCTCATTGATCAATGAGGTAGTTCAATCCATGTATTCGACCGATTGACGGAGGAGGTATGACAACGCCCATTGCTGCCGCCAGACCGCCTGCGCAACCTTCCCTTGGCCCTCCACCTCCAGATAGATACCGCTACCGCCTCTTCGTTACTCAATTCCTGCTGCCTCTTCATCATGAGACTCGGCGTTCGAACAGAGATCATTCGTAACATCGGCTGGGACGACGTGGTCATCACGATCGGGTTGGTACGTCCTAACCCATCATCGGACCAAGCCAGCTTTCAAGAACCACACCATCTCATACCGCCTCTTCATTCCAGACCATCTTTGTTATCAACCTCTTAACCCATTGCCAATACTCTTAAGCGGCTTCGGTCACCATCTCTACTACCCGATAAAGACCGCGCTCCTACTCTCATTATTCGTAGATCCGATTGGAGCAGCACATCGGAATCTGCGGCCTCATGAGCCTTGGCTTCTTCACTGATTGTATGTGTGGCGCATGGTGACGACACACCGAGCAAGCGTGGGATTCTGGGTTCGGATTGTGTTGATTGTCGGGGAAATCAGGAGGAGGATGTCCGGGCAAAAACGAATTCTGCGGGAGGAGCGCGGAGGGAGGTTCGAGTACAGACTAGGATAGGGGTGGATGGATGACATTTGACGAGCGAAGACCGATGTGGTGGTTGGCGAGGACAAATAGTATTATGCACCAGATTGGATGAATGGTATTGGCGATGGTGGGAAGAGGTTGGGTTACCAAAAGCAGCATTGCTTATGTTGATACGAAAATGTTTGTAAACAGAGCAATTTGAGAAGGCGTTGGAGGGTCAACGGTTGCCGTGTCGATGTCATTTCTGGATTCAGAGCAAGCGCCTTCTACCATAATGGAAGTAACGTTCGAACAACATTGAATTGATTAGCTGAAGGATACTTGCGCTTGTACTACGGTCTAGAGAACTGTTTGCAAAATCATTTCATACTCCACATCCCGCCTTGTGGTGGACGACCTCCGTTTCACCTTGCTCGACATCGACATTGGCTTCAGAATGTTCCCCCCATTCCGTGTTGTTTCCGCGCGCGCACACCTGTCATTTACTGTGAGAGGACGGAGGCCCAAGCGTAATGGGTGCTTGAAATCGACCGGTAGAGAACTCGATCCCCAATGGGATCTGATCAATCGCTGACGCGATCCTTTTCAGATGCATGGGCATCCAAAGCTCATAAATATTCTTGACAAATTTATACGATGTCCATTTGTTTGCGCCATCGTCAGCGGCGAAATCAAACACATCGATAGTGTGGCGATAATACGCTGTTCCTGGACCATTGATCAAGGCGTAATGCCCATACAATGTGACATGGCTGCCATCAATCAACACCGAGAAAGCGAGAATTTCCCGGTTGATCTCGGCCTCGCGATTTGCTACGCGGAATAACTCGACAACACCTCTGACTGCGACAGTCATATCGTGCGCATTCTTTCGATCGGCGGCTTCGAAGACTTCGGCACCCGATGTCATTCGACTTGTCAAGAATGGGAGGAGCATTTGAGATGTGGCGCCAAAGAATGAGGCGTCGGTGGAAGGGTCTCCGAGTAAAGGGTGCAACCTCTTCATTTGCTCTGCTGAGAAAGCAGAGGGCCGGAATCCAACTGCGTAATCCGGCTGGGGAAGTGGGCCTTCGAACGAAATCGCAGCAGACCAACGTTCGTTGATATTTTCGATCAAATTGTTGAGTTGCGTCGCTCCATACTGTGCTAATGTCTCTGCGGAGGGGACAATCAAGCGACCAATATCTTGTGCAACTCTTGCCTTGTTCCTGTCCTGCAGCGCAAAACAGGTCTCATGGAACAAATCGTCTCGGAATATAGTGTCGGTTGGGACGGTCTGTGCAGTGGTTTTCAATGTCTTGCACCATTCTCGACTTCTCAGAGCTAGCCCTTCTTGCGCCGGCCCCATATGACTTCCTTTTACCGCAAGCGATTCGGGATATCTTCTGTCGATGTATTTGAGGAATCTACCGTCGCTTGATTCGCGATCTCCAAGATGCACAATCATACTGTCGGACTTTTCAAGCCTGGCGATTGGGACTCGCGGCCTCGCCATGTGGTCCACTTTGTCTGCTTGGTACTCTTTAGGCTCAGTGATAGCTTCGTATTGGGGGATTGATGCCTCTCTTATCTAAAGTGTACTCATCCTTGATACCCGACTCTTTAAGGGGGAGGATGTGAGGTCCCTCCGGCCGTTCTCTTGCAGCAAGGGCGAGAGATAGGGAGAGAGGGAGATATTTTCTCTTTTGTGCATCTAAAATTGAGTCAACCTCTTCCATTTTATGTACAGACTTAAGCCAGGCAGAACGGGCTCATGAATCATGCTTCTTGAGAGCCTTATCATCATGAAAGTCATCAGGACGGTCCAGTGCGACGACTCATCCATCACCAGTGCCTGTGAACCAATCCAACATTCAGGGTACAGCTGCAAAGAGAACGATGCGCAGGCAGCAGTTTCGATCCTTCCTCTCATCTTCACACTTCTCCGAGTAGACTGCATAAAGCCTGTAATCGTACCATGGTTGATGTAGCCGCCGAGTGAGGTGAAGATGGGACGAAAAGATCGGATGGATGACATGACGCGTCGGAGATAGACGTCAAAATCCGACGATAGATCTAGCATCGATCAGGCTAGCGCGATGTAAACAAAAAAAGACCGGCTCTTGGCATCCCAGGCAACGGAGGGTAAGGTATTCGCAAGAGGTGCACACGAGAAGAACACCCCTCGCTGCTGAGAGGTTTGTGCCCGACTATTCCAATAACTTGGGTAACGATCAATCTTCACGCAGGAAAGCCCATTTTGATCCGAGGGACTTTGCTTGACTGTTGTCATTCCATGGGTCGCGCTTGCATCGGCGCATCCCTTGATACCTACCGATAAACAACAACCACTGCCGCACCGATGAAGCCTTCCCAATGACGCTCGAGAACGGACCAAGATTTAGCCTCTCGGCCTCATTTAGAGACCGCTGACAGTGCATGCATATTTTTATTGTTCCAAGAACGCCTGTCTCGCTGCAAAGTCTTTCTAATTCAATTTTATCATCATCTTCTCCTCAACTTCATCATCATCGGCCTCAATTTCCAGCAGGAACGAGTCTGGTCGCACAACAAGTTTCAACTCCACCTCAACAACCCTCCCAAACTTCCTTCCAAATGATTCAATCACAAAATGCACCTTTGCCAGTAGTGTTTGCTGCAGTACGACTTTAAGTCTTGTGTGACAGGCTTGGCGTACGATGAATAGTACAAGCAGCCGGGACCAGGGAAATGATGTTACCGTCGCTGCTGAAGGCTACGCATGCGCAAAAGAAGAGCTTGGGCGTGAAGGAGGAGGCACTGGATTTACATCAGCGAGCGGATCAAAATTTGCAAGGGGGAAATATTGTGCACTCACGATGTGTCGATCGGCTTGATGAACACTCCTGTGCCATCGTCTTTCATTTAGGCATCATACGAGGGCGGACTCGGTGGCACAATATAAGTCCCTTACAGGTCTTCAATGAGGCAATTAAGGTCCTCATAAGCAAGCGTACCACCGGCCGCCTTATTGACGGGCGTAATTTGCGTCAGATTTAGAGGGTTGCTGAACTGGCGGGGGATGCAATGGTCAGTGAAAGATAGTGCGATGGATTGAGATATCGTTTATCTTGTCGATGAATGACACCGTCTTTACACTCGCTGAAGCTATGGAGACATGCTCAAGGAGGAGGAGGAGCAGTATTCCGAAAGCATGGGACACGAGCCGATGAGGGTCATCCATCCGTTGATGTCTACTGACGAATGATCTTTCTGAAGTGCGACCTGGGGACTTTGGTGTGTCTCGACGGTTCGTGGGATGTCCTAGCGGCCGGTCAATACACGATATCATGATCGATGTATATGTCAAAGCGCGCCGAAGATCCAGTGGCATCGAGAGAATCCAGTAGCATTCATTTGATCTGAGGGTACTCACCTGCCTTACTCCAACAACATATCTCAACGTTAATCCGCTCGTGTGGCGCAGAAGATGCTCCGTTGCGAGGGGTATTGATCCTCATGCTTCCGGCTTATTTTTGGTGTTATGCTTGACACGTACGGCCAAAGGAGAAATCGACCAACAACAAAGAGAGATTTCAATACGAGCACAATTTGAGTGAGGACGGTGGGACTGAACGCTCTTGATTGATTCCAGTGAGAAATCAAGACAGCCCAGAGCTCAATGGATGTAAGAGCACTCGAGTCAAGCAAGTCATTTCATTGAGTGTCCAAGTCTTTGCTGATATGCGCACAAGGTCAGGCAAAGCCAGGCATCATCTGAAGACCTATGTTCGACTTCAATCATACCAAGCACTACGAGGATTCTTGATAAAGCCAATTCACTCGTCTCTGCAGATACGACGCTTCAGGAATTTGGACCATGAACCATCAAAGCCTAAGTTTATGCCGTCGCCATTGCGCAACGTCTCAAGCATGATATCCGGATCAGCGGTGAGCTGGGGAGATTTCATTCTCATACAAACATGATGTTGCAATTCAGCGAGAGCCAGGACTTCTCGCATCCAATGAAGGAGATGGCTTTCCCATCCAAACGAACCTGAAGACCTACACCCGGTCAAAGGTTTATCCGGCTCCGGACACCGCCCGGCATAGCCACTTTTGCGACAATCAATTTAGGCACGTTTGGCAAGGCAGATTCGAGGGATCACAATACACCACCACACAGCTATAGTTCTTGCGTCATCCAGTCGATTGGCGTCTGCAGCGTGATTGCGCCTTCCGCCAGCCTACAGCATTTTCAAGGGCTACGGTCGCTCTTGCTTTGAAGGTGCATACATACGATATTCACCCATTTGTTCTCCTAAAAACCATCTATTGCAGTGACGCGCACTGCAATTGTCGTATTTATCCAGTTCTTGAGCCAGCAAGATCACTTCCTGGGGCTTGCAATTTTGCTGCGCAGTTGAAATTTCCTGCGGCGAGACGAGATTCTTATTTCTCGAACATTCATACTGAAGAACACCTTCAACCAAGCCGAGACGAAGCTGTCTTGATCAAGCCTTAAGTATTCAGGTTGAGGTTGAAAAATACTACAAGGCTGGCTGTAGTAGAAGGGAACCTCCTGTTCTACGGGGCGCTCCGCCGCAGCTAATGCACGAGGTTGTGATTACAGTGGCTTAGACCATGCTCCGGCTACAGTAGCCTGTCATCCGCAATGATTAAACACGGCTACTTGCTGCTTTATTCTGGTGAAACCAATCAAATGGGTCTCTCAGCCAATCGTGCTCACGACAAAAGCGACCTTAATCGTGGCTTAACGCTACCTTCAACAGGCGTATGGCCAAGCGAAAGCCTCGTTGTGGCTCATGGCGAGGCTAGTCTGACCACCTTCAAGGATACAACCTCTGCGACCCCGATATATCATGTGTCCCTTGGTTTCTGCGTAGATCATCCATTTAAATACCAGCCACCTACTCTCTCGCCCCTTCATTCATTGAAACTCTCGCCATCCAGGATACTACACGCATCGCGATCATTAGTGTAACCGATAGCTCCTTCCGTCGTCATGCCGAACCGCAACCAACCACCCTATGAATCTTCTTTCAGTAAATTCTATTCTCAAGTACAGCAACTTTGCGACAGCACCTTAGGCCAAAGTCTGTATGATGTCCGTACCATCGAATCCTCAGACGATGCGGAGCTCCTCTACAAGGCTATGAACAAATTGCATGCTGCTGTCCGCAAAGTACGCTCAGACCACGGATCTCAAGGACCAAACACACCATGGAACCCCGTGTTTGCGCAAGGAGCAGGAGCTCAGATGCCTCCGACACCTCCGGACACACCACCCACTCACCGGAGAAATTCAGACTTGAAGTCAGATATTGAGAAGCTCAACAAGGAGATCAACAGACTTGAAAAGAAAAGTGCAAAGCTCGACGAAACCCGGCAAGAGCTTTCGAAAGCGAACGAGAATGTCGAGACTCTTGCGAATGCACTTGCATCCGAGTATGAGGTCAACAAACACTACCGGTCAGCCGCTGAGCAGTACGAATTCTTGAGCAAGATCAAAGAGAAGGATATGCGCCAAAAGAAGCTGAAGAAAGACGATGATGGTGCTCGTGTTGCAGAACACGAGTATCTCAAGTACCTCCATCTGCAAGGGAAAATGTGGCTTCAGGCCGCTAAGTTTGATAAAGCCGAACACGCGCTTTGCCAGGTCCTTGAGAGAAAGAAAGTCCTCCTCGGTGATTCAAGGCTGAGAAGGCAAGAGAATCGTGACACTCAATTATTGTTGTGTACCGCTCTCCGCTCACAAAATTCGACGTCCAAGCTCAATAAGGCAGAGGAGTTCTACTATCACGCCTCACTCTTGACCCATCTTGACACGCAGAACACAGCTGATCGCACCTGGGCAATCCGGAACGCCTTCGAGCTCGCCGCCGTACACATCGAACAAGGCTCCTACGAAGGAGTCATTGACGGACTGGGTGGGGTCTGGGCTGCACGGCACCAGGCATCTTCGGAGTGCAAAAGCTACCTGGAGAAAGAGATCGTGCGGCTCTGGCAACTCCTCGGACGGCGACAGCAAAACAACCTCGCCACCAGAGTGCTCAAGATGTGCAGCGATGACAGCGGTGGTCTACCACAAAGCTTCCTCCCTCATGTGCGAGAAATCGGCAAGCTTGCATACGAGCAGGGCCAATACGAGACAACGATTCTCTACCTAAAGAAAGCGTGGGCAGATGCTTCCGAGCCCGAAAAGGATCGACTACAGACTGGTTGGCTACTCGCATGGTCCTTCTGCCACCTGAGACAATACCCGAAAGCCCAGACAGTCCTCGCAGCGCTCCTCAATCACGCCAGCTCCACCACATCTCCCTCAAAGCTCGAAGTCACAGCCCTGCTCGCCCACGTCTACTTGCACCTGAAAAAGTACACTGAGGCAGAAAAACACGCTCGTATTGTCTACAATCAGTGCGGCGCGTCCACCCTGCTTAGCTCTCACGCGTACAACCATGCTGACATCTTGATTCGCGCTCTCATCGCGTATGACCAGAAAGAGAAATATCAGGATGCCCATGGTGTTTGGAATCGGATCTTTGCGGGTAGGGATCGAACACTGGCACAATCGCAGGGGAAGAAGGCGCTCCGACACCATGCTGATGTAGGCAAGGAGCTGAGTGCGGCATGGGCGAAAAATATCAAGGCTCGACCAAACGGAGCCGCGCATCCGAAGAAGCCGGCGGAGATCAGTGCGGAGGTAAAGGTACTTGAGAAGATGATTGCAGGATAAGAACACGATGAATTAGTTTGGGATGATGGAAGGACATCGGTGTATGAGTGCCTCACGACCTTGATGCTCATCCAATTCCTGCTTCAGTAGACACCATTAGTCATACAATAATGAATGTATTTTCATATTTTCATAAAAATGAACTAGAATGTGCAACTCAGAGCTTGACAGCCAATCTCCCTTCCCCCCATCAATTCCCAAGAAGTGCGCACTTCGCGCATCGGGTCCGTGCGTAACTTTCGAAATTTTCAAAAAGGGGCGTTCCGAAAACCCGCACTAGCAGCAAAACTCCCGGGGGACGCCCCCACTTTCGAGAATTTCTGCACTCTAGCGCCCCGTAACGGCGCTCGGTACCGTACGGAAACGGCACTAGTAAGCTTCCGCTCTGGAGCTCGTGCCTGATCCGACGTGGTGATGTGGGTACGTCTACCAGTGCGTCACAAGCATAATCTTGAAAGCGCCTATTATACGTGGATTCAACGGACTTTGGAGGCAGATTAGGATAGAAAAGGAAGTGTTGCAGTCGCTTCCATCCTGAAATCTCTGAATTTGAGCCACATATAATAGATCACACGAAGTCTGGAGCCGATTACAAGCGGCAGGGGAAGTCTGGTAGCCAAGTTAGCCCCGAAACAGATGAATTTGAGCCACTTTTGACGTTTTACACGAAGTTTTCGACCAGTTCCAAGCGGGATATGGAGATTTGCAGGTACGCGTACCCCGAAACGGACAAGTGTCAGCCATATATAACCTGTCATGTGGAGTTTCAAGTCAATTCAAAAGATTAGCAGAACTTTCACAATCAGAACTAGCCTCAGATCCACAATTTCAAGCCCCATTTGAGATTTTTCAGAGATTGTCAAGCCCGATTCGCCTGACCAATAAGATATGCCTACCAGATATCCACAGAACATACTGGAATTCCAGGCTCGCCGCGAGGGTGCAGCACGGAACGGAGGCACTGGCAGTCCGAGATGGGTATAAATTAACCCTTCCCCCCACTCCCCTTTTTGTTCTGTCCCCTTAGATCAGAAGACTTTGGGGACCCGTTGGCAAGCAATTCAAAACTAGATAGCAATCAAACCAGATTTACCAATCAATTCAATTGAACAAACCAATTTCAACCACACCATTCACTCCGAACAACGTTTTCACCTGGATACCTTTGCAAGCTCTACCAGGCACCTCCTACCTCTCCCACCACCACAACCACAACCACCACCACCATCATGTTCCGCTGGCTGCTTTGCTGCTCCGGGCAGCGGGGAGGGAAGGGGTACGACCCCGACCCTCCCATCCAAATGACAATCGCCATACCGAAAAAGCATTGGCAGCACGCATCACCACCAACCCTCCGCCAACACATCAAACAGACGACCAGCGAGAACTGCGCCGGTTGGGCAATCGGCGGCGACGGCAAACCATTCCTCCGACCATGGCACAACGTCTAAGTGTGCCTCCTCAGTGCAGGCCTCAGTCACGAGACGTTCGCCGCCAGAAACAGCGGCGTTCGGCCTTTTCTTTCCTCAGTGCAGCTCTCAGTCAAGAGACGTTCGGCCCAGGTCACGGGGTCGTTCGAGCTTTCCTTTCCTCAGTGCAGTCCTCAGTCAAGAGACGTTCGTCCCAGGTCACAGGGGCGTTCGGGCTTTCTCCCCGACAATCGGTGTGGCGCCGGACACCAACCAAAGACAAGCGCTGCGGTGCAAGGCAGCAAACCAGACAAGCGTCACGGAGCCGGGTGACAACAAATGACAAGCGGTGCGGCGCCGGGCACCAAACCAGACAAGCGTCACGGAGCCGGGTGACAACAAACGACAAGCGGTGCGGCGCCGGGCACCACCCAAGACAAGAGCTGCGGCGCAGGGCAGCAACCAGACGACAAGATCCATACGCACGCCAGATGGAACCAAATTTCCTTACGTTCACACCATTATTATTATTTAGCATGGTTTTTTACGGCGTTTGCAGCGACACACATATTCTTAAGAGGCATCGATTATACCAAGAACATACTTATCCGGCATCAATTACGGCACAAACATAACTACACGGCATCAACTACGGCATGAAAATCACTAGACACCACATCCCCAAGAGACGACGGCTGGAAACGGGCTCGCAGGCGAGCAGAGTGGGAAGAAAAGGGCTGCTAGCGAGCAGCGTACGAGTGGAACGAGGCTGGGGGGCGAGCAGAGAAGAGAGAAACGGGCTGCTAGATAGCAGCATACATACAGAGCAGGATACAGCCAATGAAATCACATTCGTACGCACTATTTCCACGCATTGGCATCGTCGTTATTACCAGTATACATACGAATCGCGACGTATCGAGGCAGCAGCACCATCAACGAGACTTATTCCTGCTAGTTATCGACGCCGATATAGCGAAGAACGACGGCGGCAAGCGTGGGGGGATTCGGAGAAGGCACTGTTACACCAAGCGCATGATGAATGCGTCGAGTCGACGGGATGGAACCGAAGCCACGGGCCACGGAAACGATGATGTATCGGCGAGATGGGGTTATGAGGGTTTCGGATCGGGGGTTTGAGAGGGCGTTGGTGAAGGCTGTCGACATGAAGAGAGGCTGTATTACTTACATAGCGAACAATCAAGTGGTTCCAACATCTTCATGACCTGTCTCTCACTCCATATGTTCCTGATCCGACTCATTCAAAAAGACACTTTCATCGCGCACCTTCACTCCTATCATTCTTTGTATCGAGATAGTACCTCCTCATCGTCCCCAAATACACTCTCAACACATCCCTTCCCGCCTCTGCTTAGCTGAACATTTCCCTGACCGGCCCCATCCCACCGCCCTACCAACCTAGACATGGTTTGCAGCATGAATATCTTCATCTCCAGCGCCACCATCTCACGAAGTATCTCACCTAAAGAGCCTGGCTCCACAGCTTTCGTCCACTAGCCTGCCCTCCCCCCTCTCCCCATGCCCCCGTGCCCTCGACAGCACCATCCTCCTCCCCCCCTCCTCCCCGGGGGCCGACGTACAAGCGCTCCCTCGCCCTCGCTCAGGCATACACACTCAGCCAATTGAGCCGTCAACCGTCCTTTCTTGTCTTCACCAAGATAGACTATAGGTATATGGACAATTGTACGACGATTTGGTATCAGGCGCGGGAGACGAATGGATAGACAAACTGCGCGTGGGAGGGGGGTGAAGGGTAGGATTTTGTTTTTAGAGGAGCTGGGGGGGGCGCTGGGGTTTATGAGGGGTGTTGAGGTGGCTGGTTGGTTGGGTTGGTCGAAGGAGGGGAGGGAGGGAGTGCGAGAGATTCGATGAGGGAGGGTGGAGGCTGGAGGCTAGAGGGTGGGGGAGGTCGTGGAGATGTCTGCTGATTTGGATGCGTATTTGCGGGTTTCGAGAAGGGGAAGACGACGGAGTAAAAGGGGGGAGGAAATGCGATGACCCTAGCACCACGTAGAGTAAGCCGCAATGTTTGGATATATGCATTCGACCTTACCCGGAAAGTGGAGAGCGCATAATGCATTATTGGGTGCGGATCAGGGTGAGTAGGTCTACTATGCATGCTTGGATGCAGCGTGTGTAGGCTCTGAGCCGTTGCGTTTCTTGTATTGTTTATCTCGAAGATGGAAGGGAGTTGCCTGTAGCATGGTTCCTGTGAGAACGGAAATGAAAGGCAAGAAGTCTCGACGCTCTCCAAATGCTGCCACTGCTCCTTCTTTGAGAAGTCATAGCCCGCTCTACTACCTGTTAGAGTCGGTGATTGCTCCTGTGCTGAGAAAAGTGATGCAAAGCGGACTACAACATGAATTTCGCGCAGGAACAGTACGAAGAGCTCACTCGAATATGGTATGTCTTAGAGATAAAATTCTGTGGAGCAATTGCTTCTTCCCTCCAAGGGTTCATTCATACATTTTCGATACAGCTATGGCGAAAAGATCACTGGCACTTTCTCCTACATCGAGACATGTAGCGTTACCTAGCCAACGACGCGTACACGACCATGACAACAAAGGCGATCGTTCGGCTTGGAACGGAAGACTGTCCATTTCACGGCGAAAGCTACTCGACAGAATTTTGCACAAAGATCTTACTTCAGCACATTGGATACTCATACACGCGAGCTTTCACAACCATTTGGTAGAGTCATCAGAGGTCAAACTCGCCTGATGCAATGATGTAGCAAGACTGACGCTAGACTACAGAAGGTGCTAGCTACCGCCAGCCCTAGCCCTAGCTAGAGCCTAATCGGGACGAGAGTGACTCATTGCCCCAGGTCTCTTTTCTCCAATTGTCCAATGACTTTTTGGGTAGACACAATTGCTATCGCAAAGTGAGCATCCCATCCACCATGTTACAAAACCTCAGCGCCGTCGAGCTCGCGCCGCTCAAACCGGGCATCTCCCACCCCATCCCGCAACCCCACAACCCCCCAGAAAGCACGATCCACGCCCTTAACAACGACACCGAACCCCCCATCCCCACCCCCTCATCCTTCCCCATCCCCAACCCCACCCCACACCTCTCCAAATCCCGCTCCATAATCGTAATCATCATCCTAACACTCGTCTTATTCCTCAACAGCGTCTCCACCGGTTTCCTCACCGTCTCCCTCCCGCGTATGTCCCTCCCCACCGAACTCTCACTGCCCCCCAACCTCCTGTTGTGGCCTCAATCCGTCTTCGGCCTCACCACAGCCACATTTCTCCTCCCCGCCGGCTCCATCGCCGACGTCATCGGTTCCCGCGTCGTCAACCTCACTGGCACCGCTTTCCTCGGTGTCTTCATCATCTTGTGCGGATGCGCGAGAAGTGGGGGGAACTGATCGCGTTCAGAGCCCTGCAGGGCGTTGGGTTGAGTTTGTGCTTGCCTACGGGCATGGGGATTCTGAGTACGGCTATCCCGAACGGCAGGAGGAGGAATACGGCGTTTTCGGCCCTCGGCGCAAGTCAGGTTGTCGGGTTCGCGGCGGGACTGTTGTTGAGTGGCGTTTTTGTCGATACGATTGGCTGGAGGGTTGGGTGGTATGGGGCTGGCGCTCTCACGCTGGGCTTGAGTGGGGTTGGCGTGTGGGCGTTGCCGAAGGAGAGGGTAAGTGAGAAGCCCGTGTGGGGGAGGTTGAAGACGGATATTGATTGGGTCGGTGCCGGGCTGGCTTGTGGTTCGTTGGGTTTGCTGTCGTATGTTTTGGCGTTAGTGGTGATTCTCTAGGTTGCGTGGCGAAGTGAGTTGACTGTGTTTAGGATGACCACGTCGGATGTGCGTGAGATTCGCCGGCCGGCTCATGTTGCCATGCTCACCATCAGCCTTGCACTTGTCCCCGCTTTTGCGTTTTGGGTTGGGCGACAGGAGCGACTGGGCAAGCCGGCACTTATCCCTAATTCGATTTGGAAGAATAAGGCGTTTACGAGCATTTGCCTGATGGTTCTGTTGGCCTTTGGTGTCATGCAGACGATGGAACTGTTCGTCAGCCTCTTGTGAGTTTTGAGTCGATTTCCCCATCAAGGTCCTTCTCTGATTCGAGTCAGCTTCCAACAAGTCCAGCGCCTCTCAGCCCTTGAGACCTCCATCCGGCTACTCCCTGCAATCGTAATGGGCCTCGTTCTCGAAGTCACAACCGGTTTGTTCGTACACCGTATCTCCGTCCTCTACCTCGTCGTCATCTCATCCCTACTTTCCGCTGGATCACCCTTACTGATGGCAGTCATAAACAAGAACTGGCCGTATTGGTATGATGCCTTCTTCGCGCAGTTCCTGATGTACTTTAGTGTCGACGTGCTCTTCACAGTGGGAAGTTTCGTCATCAGCGACGTCTTTCCGCCGCAAACGCAAGCTCTGGCCGGTGCCATTTTCAATGTAATGAATCAATTCGGGACGTCGCTTGGTCTGGCTGTAATGGGTGTCATTGCTTCGGCTGTGACCAAGCAGTCGGACATTGCGGACAAGGCTTCTCCTGAAGCTCTCGAGGCGGGATACCGTGCTACATTCTGGGCCGCGATGGCTTGGATGCTTGTGACGTGCTGCATTGGTGTCTTTGGGCTGCGGAAGATTGGCAAGGTGGGTGTGAAAAGAGACTGAAATTTTTGCATCATTTGTGGTCATGTCTTGAACGAATGATTGGATACAGTATGATCATAGAATTCCAGATAAAAATTCTTTGTGTTTGCGAACCTTAAAGCCCTTAGCATTGTGTCCGCTGGGTACAAATTCCAGGATGACACGGTTCGCCACGCAGAAATGGGTGTTGAGATATTCTGTTTGCCTTTGTCACGACACAGCGACATCTCAGTGACACAATGGAGTCCCGTCGCACAGAAAGCACTCCACGTCACATTCGACACCGCAAAAGCTCGAGAAAATCGGGCCAGCAAACTATATCTCACAGCGCAACCCCTCCGAAAGTCTCCATCATCCCCCCAAACCCTCCCTCCTCCAAGAATTCCGCAAACAACCCCCCTCACAATGGAATACATGCGCGCCCTCAGCTCCAACAAAGCGGACTTGCAGAAGAAATACCTCACTAAAGACAGCAAACCCTACGACCACATCACCATCGGCGCCATAATCCTTTCCAAAACAAACTCCCCCGACCCCGAACCGCGCCTTTTATTGCTAAAGCGCGCCGTGCACGACAAACTCCACCCGAACGTCTTCGAAATCCCCGTCGCCAGTATGGACGATACTGATCTTGATGTGCAGGAAGTGCTGAAGCGCGTGGTAAGTGAAAAGATGGGGTTGCGGGTTGGGTGGGTTGTTGGGGCGTTGAAGCCGCTTGTTTACACGACGGAGAGGATTTTGGCGGAGGCTGATGGGATGGGAGGGGGCGATGAGGGGGTGGCTGGGGTGGGAGAGACAGCAAAGGAGTCGTGCATCCAGTTTACTTTCATCTGCGAGTCGAGGGCTGGTGAGAAAGAGGTTGAGGTGGATCAGACGGAGTACGATATGGCGGTCTCGCTGGACGTGTTTGAGATTGATGATTATTATATCGTGGAGCGGACGAGGGAGGTGCTGGAGGAGGCGTTTGAGTTGCTGGGAGAGGGTTTGGGTGCGTGAGGCGATTTGGATCCATGTCGGAGAATGCAACAGTCTTTTGGAGGAGGAGCCTTTACACGCTGTTGGTAACAGCTGCGAGGGGCTCGATCAACGCTTTGGAGAAGGAGAACCTAATGTTCGTTCGTGCTTCGTAGGATTTTTGACTAGTGTCAGACTCAGCAGAGGGTTTAGAATTGGACTTAATTCAACGCCTAGGTGCTTTGAATAGCAAACAGGGCATTCACAGGCTAACATGTTTGGGAGTTCCCTCCCAAAATGCAACACTCCGGATCGACTGGCGGTCACGTTCACGATTACTTCGCCACAGGCTTCTCAAAGCTTCGCGGTATCTGGGTCGGTCGGTGTTTATCGTAGCGCTAGGCCGTCAATCTTGATCAGCAACCCACTTCATAATGTACCAATCTTATGCGAGCCACATTCAGTTTAAACTCGTCGCGTTTCTCATTATCCTCATTCCGAAAGAGTAGTATAGAAGATGTAGCACCTTTAGAGATCCCCTCTTAACCTACTTTCGACCTACGGCATTACCTCTCGATTGCCTACACCTAAAAAGATCTGTTCTTTCAAGACGTTTTGAGGAGCTTGTAAGCCGCTCTCAAGCGCAGACCACAGCCAAAGAAGCCACAATGTCCATGTGATATTACACCTCGCAGTCACTTCCCTCAAGCTCTCACCACCCCCTTGACTCTTACACCCTTCGCTTCCGCCGACGGCTCTCCCAAGAAGAAATCCCTCTTGGCATCGATATCGCGTTCGCGGATCGTATCGTACAATTCCAAGTCAAATCTTCTTACCACGCTAGCGATCACGATGTACAACTCTGCCATAGCGAGACTATAGTGGCATCAATACTCATTCGCAAGACAGATAAGAGAGGGACGGGCGCAGGGAAGAAGAGTGGAGAACGAGGAGAACGAGGAGGGCGTACTTTAGACCGAGACATATACGGCTGCCGCGACTGAATGGCGCGAAGACTTGGTTCATCCGATCCAAGTGCTTTGAGTCAGGGTTGGTAAGCCAGCGCTCGGGCAGAAATGTTCCTGGCAAGGGAAAGATGGTAGGGTCGTAGAGGGTGTCGCGCTGACTCATACCCACGGGTGTCTGAGCTTATCAACATGAAGTCTTGGTCGAGTAGTGCATGCTTGAATAATTGCGACTTACTCCTGGTGGAATCACCCAGTCACCGTACCTCAATGCTTCTTTAGGAGAGATAAGGGGACTACGAGACGTCACGAGTGCGACAATACGCAATGATTCCCTGATCACCGCTGACTAGAAATATTGAACGGGTATTAGCGACGTATCTCCCCAAGAAATAATTGGAGACCTACGAGCCATGGCAACTGTTCGAGAATCTTGAGATCAACTTGCGAGTCCGGCTCGCTCATGACTTCACCCAATTCCTTCTGCAATCTGTCGAGTACCCTCTCCTTGTTTGCCAACATGTGAAATGTCGCGATGCTAAGGACGCGAGCTGTAGTCTCACTAGCGGCTGTGAGTACTACAACTCCTTCCTGAGCAAGTCGTTCGGTAGATTTCTCGTGTGGCGGCAGGACCTTGCTCGTCATTATGCTCTCAAAGAGGGTCTTATGTTTGATGACATCTTCTGCTGACGAGCTGTCCTTTTCCGATGTCATGTCCGGTCGGGTGCGGAGGAAAGTATCGGCTTGATGATGTAGATCCTAGACAATCAATTGTCAGACAACAGGTGCAGGAAAATTATTGGCACAAGGGAACCTCACGCGATCTAGTTTCAGCAACCGGGCAGCGTCAGGTACTAATACTTGCAAAGGTCTCAAAGGTAGTCTCATAATCAGAGGATTAAGCCAGGGAAATTGTTTAACGATGGGTATAGCTAAAATGATTGAATCCAGAGTTTTCAACCATTCCCCAGCTTTCTTATCATCATGTAGCAGGCCTTGCGTCTCACTGAAGACGTAGTCGCAGATCGTGTCTGTGGTGTAAGCCAGATACTCGCGGCGTATGTTCACGATCCCGCCGTCTTTCAAAGTGCGCTTCAATTTTTGAGTGAGTAGGTCTATGTTTTTGTAAAGAAGTGCCTGCGTTGAAAAGACGGCGCTTTTGGAAAAGAAGGGGCTGAGAGCTGAGCGACGTTTTCGATGGAGCTCGTGATCGATCGTGGCAAACACTGCCTTGATCATTAACAAAGCGATACGAAGCATGTTGATCTGAGAAAGTACCTCCGACAGGGCTTCCACTCATCGTTGCCGCCGGCGGATACCTATCCCGAGCGCCCTACGACTCTCAGTATCCACATGTATGCCAGACAGAGGATGTCATCACCGCTGCTGGATTTGCATACAACACTCCTACCCATGAGGGATCCTTGACATGAAGCTCCTGAGGATTGATTCGCACGATTGGTCCTGTCCACCAGTGCCTAGATCAGACTTGGACCAAAATATGGAGAGCCAGCAACGTTACGCATGGAAAGAGGTGTGACAAACCGTAAACATCATGCATACGCTCAAGCTCCCACGCAAATTGGCCGCCAGGCGCCTTCAGAATATCGAAGTAGAACTCGTACCATTTCGTTGCTGCGGCGAGTTTTGGTCCCGGGAAACGTGCTAGAGGATGCAGATAAAGACGATAGATGACCAAAGACAGTGCGTATATCAGCAAGACACCAGCGGCATACACGAACGTCTTGAGGATCTCAATCATCATTTTCGGCAAGTATCAGAGCAGAATCATAAGTATTATGAGCAAAACGGAAGAGGAAGATTCCATGCAGAATTGAAAAAGAGGATTGTGCGGGGTAGAGTCATGGCTCTGCAGAAACTTGAAGGCTGGCACACCTCACGGATGATGCACAGAAGAAGTCATGCAAGTAGCCGTGGAGAGACGGGAAGCCAATCGACTGTGCGTGGAGGCAACGCCATGCATAATCAATGCGAAGGTATGCCAAACTAAAGCCTGCCCTTGAAATAAAACGCGGTATCTCCCCCTCAGTGCCTTACCCCTCGTCTAGCAGACCGTTATCTTGAGTGTCGAACTGAAGTCACAAGCTCAAATTAATGTGAATATTCATTCCTTGGCTTATAATCGATCCCATTGCAGAGAGGGGTCTTGAAGCACCATTCGTGATGAAGTTTGACTGTCAAGTCTATAGTGAATCTAGATGCTAGTCAATATCGTAGGGTAAACTTGCGAGGCACGCTCTCTCCAGGCCTTGAATAAACAACGAGAAGCCGTTCGTAGCTAGGCCCAATATTTTTCGTTGACTTCATGGGATAGGCTTGTGCTACGGACTCCTGCAAGTCTTCAATCAGTCTAACGACGGAGCCATAGCAACCATACTAAAGTCCATCTCTTCTTCTCTAGCATGTTTCAGGAAGCTTCGGACGCCCAGTTGCAAAGCCTTTTCACTCAGCATATCCTCATTTTCTGCCAATGCTCCTCGATCTACCGGGCCCTTCATACCTCCATTCAGCTCCCACAAGTGCCCGTCACTACCCTTGGCAAAGCATATGTAATGGTTTCCTGAAGGCTCTTCCGACCGAGGAGCTTCTGTATCGCCAATTGTCGCAGCAGCCATGTGGACATCTTCCAATTCTTGTGAATCATAGAGCACCTTGGCTCTTTCTGTTGGCTGCAGTGGTATGGCTTCCTTCAGCAGCTTTGCTAACAATGACCCTGGCTTGATGTACTGCTTTGCCTCGCCATTGCTCAAACCATGTAGCAGTGCCATCAATCCACATGTATGACCAATAGTTTGACGGAACCACATAGCGGGTTCGGAGTCGCCAGAGCCTTTGTACTCTTCCATTGCCTCATAATCGGCGTCTCGAGCTCTGAAGAACACGGCTTGCTGACATGTGAAGAGTAGGGCGTATACGGGGCGAGGAATGAAGGAGAGGAGGTCAGGATCATCGATGCTGTAGACGTCGTAGAATCCGAGGGTAGGCTGCACGCCTAGGGCTTGAGAGAGCTGGGTAAACACGAGAGGGTTGTTCTCTATGGATTAAATTAATTCGAGTGTTGCAGCAGAGAATTCGATGCTTGGCACACACCCAGAGGGATCAGAACCTTTCCATTCCCAATGCGTTCACCCATGGCTATCAGACGTTCAGTACTTCAGATTCACGCAAAAGCGCAGGGTGTAAGCGATGTGTTGACTCCGAGGATACCAACTCAAAGTGTATCATCTCCCTCGTGCGTGGTACAGTACCCTGAGCCAGGGGCAAACGGGTGAAGGACATTTTCATTTTGGGCTTGTCATACGTACGAGCAGAAGCCTAGAATTCCCGCCCGGGAGATCTTTAGCCACTGCCGTTTAGGGGTGGCTGACCCCCGGAGCTAGGAGAATTAAAGCCGGAGCTGCGCCACACCAAACAAGTTGACTAGGCCATGAATCGCGACATTCTTGACATCAGCTTGCAGCATCTTGCATACTTGCTTGCAGTCTCAGAAGCCTTTAGCTTGAAGTCTTCTGAGCTTTACACGTATTCCCCGTATCAGTCCCTCACACCCTAGATCCTCTATTGGCAAACGTACACAATGAGCGCAGAGGAAGAGGTAAGCCATTCGCTTGCCCAGATATCCCCGTCGACTTTCACGCTCGATGGCTAAGATGCCCGCCTATGTTGTAGGGCGCAACACCACGCGAACTCCTCCTCGAATCATGCCGCCGCAACAACGCCTCCCTCTTGACCTCCCTCCTCACGCCCTCATCCCCTCAATCACACCCAAGCCTAGCATCACCACCGCAACGAGCCCATTTCCTCAACACAACCACCGACGGCATAGGTCAATGTGCGCTTCATGTCGCAGCTCTGAACGGCTCGTGCGAAGTACTGGACGTATTGCTCGACCAGGATGGGTTGGAAGTGGATCCAATCGATAAGATTGAGGGGGACACGCCGTTACACAAAGCCGTGAGGTATGGGAATGACGGGAATGATGAAGGAGGGGCCCTGGCGATGGTGGAGATGTTGGTGGATGCTGGTGCGGATATACGGTGTGTGCCACTTTCCGGAGGGGGTGGGGGGGATGTGGGAGAAAGGCTGACGTGACCAATGCGCAGGATACGGAATAAAGGCAAACTCAAACCGATAGACTTGGTGGAGCGGCATGTGCCAAAGGTGAAAGAGGTGCTACAGAAAGCCGAGGTTGCGCTAATGGTCGCTGATGAGGTCGCTGTGGACTCGAAGGAGGAGGATGAGGGCCCGGCTGGGAGCGCGAGCGATAGCGATTAAGTGCTGGCGAATAAGCAACACAGGAAGATTAGAACTTCTTAGAAGATTTGGCGGCCTTGAGTAGCATCTGAGCGGGAAGGTTTGGTTGCATTTAGGTAGCATGGCGTTTGTAGCGGATAGAACAGCTTCTTCAATTATCTCTTCGCACCTAACATGGTACAACGACTTTTCAAATCCAGTGCCTGACTTGCTGAATGCTGTGGTGCCCGGCCTTGCTTCCAAGTCAGTCCGCACCGTGGCCTCCCTTCGCGTCTTGAGACGATGTTCCTACAGCACATTCTAGCCTCTGCGATTCTCCACAACCCCGACTGCCAGGCATTTCTGTTCAGGCTCGCCGATACACTGATCAAGTATCTGTTTATCCACCAGGCAAAAATGCAGCTACCTTCGCCAACCTCGATGACTGCTCAGCTTTGATCCATGGCAGTAAATCAATTCTCTTTCCACTTCGTCCCACATTTCTTACACTACCAGGTGTCAATTCCATTTCCTGATCCACGCCAGAGAATGATACTTACCTCATAAAACGTAGTCATCGGCTCGTCCGCGCTTCTCGTCTGTACTTGGTAGAATTTCGCCTCGCGGTTTCCGCACCCTTCACGAACACATTGTGCTATTGAAAGCATGGAGTCAGCGCCTACAACTCTAATAGTCTTCCCACTTCGCCTCTACTCTCTCATACTCCCCTACACCCATTCCAACAAATCGATTTTCCCGCGGCGTCACGTCGTGGCTCACACCAGTCAAACAACACCCACAAAGATAAAACAGCCCAACCAAGTCGCAAGAACACGAAAAAAGGAGAAAAACTCACCATCCGTAACCTCGCCCTCGTCCTCCTCCCCCACCGCATCCTCGACCTCCTTCTTGGGAAGATATCGACGCTCATAATGGCGCTGTTTCGGAAAGACGTATTGGAACGGGCAAGTGCGACATTCGAGGCGGTTCTGACCTGTCAAGTGTTCGTCGGTGGGGAGCGTGCGCGAGACAGTTAGCATGTTGCTGCAGGTGGGACAGACTGTGGGGATGTTAGTTTAAGAGCAGGAAATTTAGGTCCATAGGGAGGGCAAGAGGGAGGGGGTGGGGGAGTTACAGAGAAGCATTGTGAGTGAATGTCAGAAAGATGATTGTAGATGGGAGTCTGAGTGTATGAGTGGAAGATCTGATGGCGAGAAATCGGGTTAGTGCCCGCTCGCCAGGCGCCGCTGTCAGTCAAGCCTTATTTTGGGTTTAGCTCCGAACTTTTCCGGTTGCTGGTTCTCAACGTCTTTCCTTCCTGTTGTACTGCCATAGACGCTCAAATTGAATTATGATGCTGACTAATTAGACTCAGCCAGAGCACTAATGGCGATTCCCGGAAAGGCAGTCGATCTCATTGCTCCACGAGCCTCGTTGTCCTCGTCGCGACTGGAGCTTTACATGTTCATTTCAACCTCATCGTCTACGCTTCTGTAAGTTTATGTGATCTTCGATACTGGTCTTGCATCTCTCGGTAATGTCGGCCTTGCGCTCAATGATTACTCTATGCTTCAATGTTGACACTTCGGGCCTTTGATCATTGTGATCGATTTGGATACACGCAATATGCTTCAAAAGATCTGTCATGTTCCACACCTAAGACAAAGCGATTGACATAAGTGCTGCATATGTTGTCTGACGTCTGGGCTTTTTGGTCCACCTGATTTTTAATTCACAGCAACTATGTCCTTTGGGGTAGCAATCGGCGACTTTGTCGCCATCGGAACCTTGGCATGGAATATTTATCGCTCTTGCAAAGGCATGAGAGCCGAGTTTGAAGAGGTGGGAAGGGAAGCATTGGCAGCTCACACAGTCATGAAGGAGCTGGAATATGAAGTCAATGATCATCAATCAGCACTAAATCGATGTCATTTGACCAAGAGACAAGAACTGATACAGCTCGTCGAAGGTCTTCGCACTACGCTACAAAATTTCGATAATATTATAATCAAATACAAAGGCTTTACTCGGCGAGAAAGACGTGTATGGGATCAACTCAGATTCGCCGCCATAAACTTGAGCGCGCCGCGGGAGCAGCTGACACTCCACTTGACTGCTATAAATGCGTTCATGGATGGCGTCTCGCGTGGAACCCTAGCTCGCCTCGAGACAGTACTGCTTGAGCTAGTACGTGAAGTCCGCGAGGGCCGGCGCGCTCCAACAGTAGTATCAATTGATCAACCTCAAGACACCTCTGGGTGGAAAGAACTCGAGCTCGAGTTGGCGGAGGACGGAATTACTGCTTCTGACGTTGCAGATCATAAAGTTGCAATCAGAGCCTTTTTGCTCGGGCGCTTGAAAGACTCGACCACCGATGATCTATCATTTTACGAGGTTGCATCCGCCATCGTGACCAGCAAGTACAAGGGAACAATGGCCGATGACATGTCGTTCTTGACTCTAGAATCAGCGCAGAACTCGATAGGCTTTGAAGATAGTGGTCATGCTCGAAACAGTGAGGACCCTGCTGCCAGCCAGCAATCATTCAAAACCGCTCGTGAGCATATCTTCGAAGAGATGGAGTCGATGCCAGCTACAGAGGCAAGGCGTATTTCTTTCGCTCCTTTTACTAGGATCCCAAAAGACAGTCTGCCTGATTTAAGTGCCCCATCTAAACCAAATAAGCTGCTAAGACGCTTGTCCATAAGCAAGACTAGCGACAAACACATCCTTCGCCATAAAAGTTCTCTCGAAAGTGTGCTTTTCGACACACTGATACCGAAGCCACAACGGGTGCTTATTGTCGATCCGATTCATTCGTGTGAGTTCTCTCACCGTGACGTGTGAACTGATGGCTGATTCGTATTAGCTTTCTCGAAACTAATGCACGCTTATCTCCGCTCGCTGACCAAAACACATCCGACGGTCGGCCAGAGAATTGACGCCGTTCGCTCCACGGGTTGGAGAATGCACGAAAGTGGTGGCATGGAAATGTATCCGGTCGACAACATGATCAGAGAACTACTGCTAAGCAAAAGAATCGAATTGCCAAGTTCAGATACGTACATGATCAAAGAGTTCCGCTTCGCCGACGTTCTGCAATTCGACCACATCATCTACCTCGACTCACCCTCATTCACAGAGTATCTTGAAGCCAACATCCAAAAGATTGCCAAAGCCAAAGCTAAAGAGGAATTCGAGGGTGCCCAATTCGCCAAGCTTACGAGATACGATCGACCTAGCGCCCTCTACTTACCGGAGTCGATGAGCAAAGGCATTGGCTTCGCTGCCGGCATGTTTTCATATCGACAAAAACTGGCCTTGGAAGAGATCTTGAGGACTGCACAACGCTGTGTACATGAATTCCTGGAACGCGAGTTCGGGTTGAGGAAAAGTGGGCAAGGGTTTGAGAAGACGCTTTCTAAGCGACCGTCGAAGGCCAGTCTTCTCTCGCATTCGGATGACAGAAGACGATCTGCGTCGCCTGAAGGTAAGGGGTAGGGCAAGTTATCTGGTGGTGCTTGTGGGGATTTGCCAATTTCATGATAATGAATTCGGCAATGGGGAGATCAATGCTTTACGGCCTACCTACCTAATGGTATGTGACCTTGGACTAAGCCTACGCAGCATCTATGGGAACTCGAGCATCTTGAACAGCTATTCTCGACCACTCAAAAAACATGGCAGCAAGCTTAATTACATCGTGGAGAAACATCAGCATCCGGATGAGTTCCGACGCGGTAATACGGCCTGCGTTTCAGGCGAGATGTGACTACAAAACTTCAGTCCAGAAATACTGCACCTGCGACTCACCGATCAACTTCTCGAACAGTGGAAAAGCGTGCGTTGTAAACAACAGGTTCATTCAAGATCTCTAGATTCATTCAACATCCAAACTACAGAAAGACCTGCAAACACCAACAACTTCTTTAGCTATGACAACCTGCTATTCATCGCCCAGATAAAGAATTTTCTATCAAGAAGTGCTCCCTCCCCTCCCCGCCCGTCTCTCTGCAGAACGCCAAGTCCGCAGCTTAAACGCCACAAATTTCACGATATCTTGTCCAGCGCCATCCTTCATAAACAGCCAATCTATCACCAGTATCTTCCTCCTCTGAACCTCAATCACCACCAATCTCCATCATCACTTCTCCTCACTCCCTGCCCCTCCTCCTCCCCCTTCCCCTCCCGCCTGCCTCAATTGATCCAAATAGCTCCAGCGCAAATTCACCGGCTTATTCCGCGCACCAACTGCCGGTGGTGGCCGGTGAGGACTGGTCGGCACGGTGCTGGTTCGCTGCCTGCAGTGCCTGGGAGATGGAGAGCGTGGGTTGTTGGGGCTGTTGAGGTGTCGCGATGTTGTTGTTTGGTGTGGGTGGAGAGTTGTGAGGTGAGTGAGGGGGTCGGGGTGTATAGGGGGGCAGTGGGGGAGTTGTGAAGTCCGCTATTATTGGCGCGAGCAACCAGCTGCTGAGAACGTGCTAGAGTGGTCTGAAGAGCGCTGCGCAGAGCGGTGCTGCTTGGTGCGGGCTGTGGCTGCACATTCTGAGACTCTGTAGCTGGCTGAGCCTGTTGCCGAGCCTGTTGTTGAGCTTGACGCTGACCTTGTTGTTGAGCTTGTCGCTGAGCATCACGCCATGCATCACGCCTCTCATCCCTCACCTCCAACACCCCAGCATGCGCAGCCGACAAGGGCATCCGATTCCTCACCCGCTCCTCCGCCTCCATAAGCACCTTCTCCTCCCCCGTAGCGCCCGACTTATCAATAGCGCGTTGCCGCTCCGCACCGCGCGCCATCAGCGCGTTTCCGTGCGCGACTGTCAGGAGCTGGCGGTTTCGCATGCGCGAGTCTGCTTCCGCGAGGAGTTCTTCTTGCGTGAGAGGCGGCGCTAGGTTGCCGAAGCTAATCGGGCGAGAAGATGTGGTGGTTTGACGCTTTGCAGGCGGTAGGCCGTTCTCCTTGTCGCTGTCGCGCTTGCGCTTTGAGCCGGCGGCGGGGGCGAAGTGCAAGGAACGTGAGGGGTCGTTATGGCGTATGGCTGCGTTGGTGACTGGGTGAAGAGCACGCGAGTGAAGGCGCGCTGGTATGTCGGTCTGCTGTACGTTGAGATTATTGGTGAGAATCTGGTTCGTTGGCCGTAGCTGCGTGGCGAGTGGATCGATGGTATCTGGCGGAAAATGCGTGTTGTGTTGCAATGGACCATCGTCTCGACTCGTTGAAGATTCAGCTTCTTCATCAATTGTGTGCAATACTTTTGTGGAATTTTGACCGTCAGCGATCTTGGGTGCATTCGTTTCATGCTCCTTAGGCTCAGGCGACGGAGCAACTTCACGTTCTCGGCGCAAGTCCTCTTCATCGTCGTTTTCTGATGCACCGGAGGAGGATCGTTCCTGGCCTGATGTAGTATCTTCGACCACCTTTTCTTCTTCAACCGAAGAGTGCACATCAGAAGCAGGAAGCTCATCATTAGCAGATTCACTGGAGTGATCTTCTTGGCTGTCATCCTCGAATAGGCTAAACTTCTCTTGTTGCTCGATTCCATCAGGATCCTCGTCGTCTTCGGAGTCACCCTCGGAAGCCTCCGCCGTCTTACTTGATGTGGAGGTCTCATCGTAAAGCTGTGACTGGCCCGAAGATGAAGGCATCTGCGACAAGTTACCATTGAGATTGCCCGAAGCCTGGTAGAAGGCCGCCTGAGGATCGTAAGATTGATACGGCACACGAGCAGAATTCCATATCTGTAAGCCCCCCTTCACGTATGGGAAGTCTTTGTTCGAGCCGCGCGAAGATTGCGCCAGTGTCTCCCCCAAGCGAGCATGGGTTCGTGGAGGCAAGTTCTTTGATGAATTTGCTTTCGCAGCACCGACCTGTTCCGGATCATAGGTATGCCACTTGCGATTCATGATCTTATTTTCTCGACTCTGTCGCTCTTCATCGGAGAGGTTTCTACCATTGGCCTTTTGGAGAAAGTTGCCCCTATTAGCTGATCGTGCCTGGAGTTGCTCTAGAGGCGTCAGAGGCGGAATTCCGCGGATCGAGTTGCTCGAGATGGCAGCAGCAGGCAGTCGTTGCGTCAAATACTCCGTCATATTATCAGTGCCGGTCCTCTTGTCCCACGAAATCAGTCCTTCTTTCACGCGGTACCGATCTTTCCTATTGCCGAGAGCTTGGCAGGTGAAAATTGGCGTGACCTTTCCAGCCTTGCCCTTTCGGAATTCGCGTGGACAACGAGCCAGGATATCGATACGCTTGATGCGCGTGTCGAGACGTGTGATGGCTTCAATGTACCAGTCCTCGATTTGCGAGGATAACGTGGCTGGTAGGTTGTCGAGATTATTAATGTTTGTGAATACCTTGACGGGGTTGTTGTCTTCGTCGATAACCAGGCAGACGCCTTCGAACATGAAGTCTGTGTCGATGTCATCATCCCGACCGACGTATCCTGCCTTGTCTAGGCGATTCAAGATGTCGTCCCGAATGTTTGATTTGTTGCGGTCGCCGTTCCAGTCATCTTGTTCTGGCTGGTAGGCTGTCTCATCCCAAGGAAGCTCTCCTGATTCGCGCGGGGGCTGATATGCTATCAGTCCGTTTTGACTCGCCCGCTCAATCAGGTTCTGTCGGATGTCATTGTGGTATACCGCGGGCGCCCAATGTTGAGCAGTCTCGTTCCACCAAGATAGTGAGCCATCTCGGTTGTTGCGGACGCTGCCTTTTTCCTTTTCATTTTTTCCAGGATCTGCCAGGCTGGCGAGCTTTTGCTGTCTCTTTGAAATCCCACCTTCGGAGTAGTCTGTCTCCCTCCGTTTTCCCTTCCCATTGCGTGCCATATTACCTTGGACTTGGTAAGGCGCTGTTAATTGTCTATGAAGGTCTGTTCAGTGATGAGACACAAGGAATGACGAAGAATGGATTTAATACCAGAGGCTCATAATCACTTACGACACCAACAATGGGTATCATGTGGTACCACATGACATTCTCAGTTCTCACGAGAGGTACTAGAGTGTCGACCCATTGTACTGTGGGTTGAGGGGAGCAGAGGCTTTCCCACAGGCTCAATCGTGACACAATTTCCGTGAACGACACCAAGTGACATGACAATGGCATTGTGTCGCCATTCTTTTTGTCTGAAATTTCCATTGTTCTGTATTGTCAACGAGGAAACAAAGAATGGACTTGCGTCCCTGTGGATGGTGAAACTTCGCTTGGTGTATTCCTCTGCGCACGTGCCAAGTGACGGATCGTTAGACTGATCATGATGAAGTCAGGACGTTCGAGTCTGAGCAGAAGTTGTCCAAGGAGGTTTCGCTAGTAGAAGTTTCACTATGACGGTCCTGTAGAGCAGAGCACCATAGTACGTACGTATGTCTATATGTCAGCATTCATTTTGCAGGCGCAAGTAACAGAGATGCAGGTTTGTGAAAAAGGATGAACGAAGAGAGGTAGATTCAAGCTCTTAAAAAATATAGAGGATGTTGTGCCTACCTTATAGTCTCAAACTAAGTAGAGTGTCTGTTGGCCTCCCATGTGTCTCTCATGGCACTGACCTAAACATTGCCTGAGGTCGTGGGAGAAATCGAAGACATTTGACCTTTATTCAGACACCATATTTGACCATGGATTCGTTTAGTGAAGCTGTTCCAACACATTTTGTCAGTAAAGTAGCGCAGATCAAAGCAACGATGCGCAGGCAATTTGCTGAACCCTCAATTGTAGGCATGAGCTCCAAGACGTATATCATAAGCCGACTGGATCTAATTATGTTCAATCGGCTGCTCCGACAGCAACTCCTCTCTCTTTCTCCTCGCACAAGCTCTCATCGGCGGCTGCACGATATCATTGAACAAGAAAGTCCCATAGACAAGCAGCGCAAAGCCCACAATCTGCAGCCATTTAAACGTCTCCCATCCAAGTCCCAGACTCACGATCCATATGAACAAGGTCCGACAGGTATCGATGATACTCCTCGCCGTCGCACTGACGCTTCTCGTAATACTGAGTCCAAAGAAGTTGAAGCCACCGATGCTGATCATGATCAGCACTGATGAAACAGCAATGGATCTGTACTCCGTAATTTCCCGCCACCCTTCCACGGCGTCAAAGTAGCCATTTTTGCCCTGCTCTGTCCGCCCAACGGTCAGGTGCAGGATGATCATAGCGACGATTGTGACAATGAATCCAAAAGTGCCTTCCCACCCCACAACCTTCAATGGCTCCAATGCATAGTTTTCCAGGATCCACTCCTCCAGCACGAATTGACTCGCCGTAAACACTTGCGCGCCCGCGATCGCCAGTATACCCAGGATTGTAAGCAGCACAGCGCTGGGCTCTGCCATCGTCTGCACCTCTTCACCCATCCCTCTGACCATCCTCATCCCTCTCTCCCCTAATGTAGGATTACCATCAGCGCCCGTCTCCGGCTGCGCTTGTGGATTTGGCTGAATGGCCCCCGCCAACCCCACGACAGCCACACCTAGTACAACAATGAAGAGTGAACTCCACTGATACGCCTGTAACCTTCTTCGCAGGAATACTACGCTGAAGAGTCCAACGAATAGCACCAGCGCGCCTCGCGTCATCTGGTAGATACTAGCGGCCACGAAAAGGAGTCCGACATTCATGAGGGTTGTACCGCTGAGATCGCAACACGCCGGTAGCGCTAGCAGCAGTATCTTCCAGCCATTCAGCTCACGCCGGTGTTCTGTAGGGTCTGGGAGGAGGGATTTTGCGATGGGTGTGTGAGGGTCGAGTGAGCTGAGGGATTGGCGGAGGTCTTCGACGGGTTCGTCGTCGTCGGAGGGAGGCGTGGAGGTGGAGGCTAGGAGGGGCTTGTAGCCGCTGTTTTTGGAGCGGGACAGAAGCCTGTTGTAGAGGTTCAGGAGGAGGACGATTAGCCAGCAGGCTGCTTCGCCAATGAACATTTGTGCACTATGTCGAGGTGAGTATTGTGCCTGGAAATATTGAGGGAGGATGGAGAGGGAAGGGGAGGGATGCCCACGTTTGAATGACTGGCTGCGAGAAGCGGCGCGGTTTTGGGGTGTCGCAGTCACCGACGCATACGAGATCCTGTTACAATTAATTGTGAGCCTTGGGGAGAACGGTCGAGGGATAGACTGACTTGGTATTTGGTAAGGAGCGTGTTGCAGACTCCGGTCAGCAGCATCATGCCGACCAGGAACGGTATGAGGAATTTGTTCGCCATTGTTGGAGTAGAGGAGGGGGGCGTGGAGAAGAGGGCAACGAGCGCCGATACTGCCTATACACGGTAGAAATGAGAGAAAAGTGTGTCTGCTAAGGCGTCATGGGGCCATTGTAGAGGCACCACTCTTATGATGAATGACAAGAGGTGGTCATTTACCGGCCCTATTCGGTAACTGTTATCAGATGCTGCGAGAATACGGCGAATGACTACGACATGTTATCGGGCTCTAGCTCTAGATTACGGTAGCTCATTAACTCAATACTTTCAAAATTAATCTTTTGCGTCAGCGATAATGGAATCCTCAGCATTTTAACCGGAGAATGGCAACAAGTTGCCTGAAGGGAGAGATGATCTACATACTGCATTCATAGTCATGTACAGTAGGTGTACATCGAGAGAATGCCTCGCGAGGTTGCGAGCTATAATTAGGCTGCTACACGTCAGCTCAGCCTTGTCGAACCGCCGCTTTCAACGACATGGCTGGGTTCCTTACCACTTTCTTTCCTTCTCACTCCTTGTTAAGACTTTTGATATCTACGAACTGTAGAACGCGGTATATTGCGTCGACGGCCATGTGAAAATGACTCATTTAAGACGATAGTCTCGTGATTCTGACGGAAATGGAGGTCGCTTTTGGCGTCATCGGCGCTGTAGGCTTGGGAATTCAGCTAACGGAGACTGTGAAAAAAGCGCACACATTTCTACGAGGCGTTGAGGATGCGCCAGAAGACGTGTTGGGGCTCGTTGACGATCTTGCACAACTATACATGGTTCTTGACCAAACATGCCTTCTTGCGGAGCAACAGCGAAATTTGCAGCCTACCATTCAATCTCTTACGGTGATTGAAAGCGCACTTGAAAGCTGTCAGATCAGTGTGCAGAAGTTGGAACTTATGGTGAACAAGCTTCAAGCATTGTTCGACCGTCGAGGAAAAGCTCGAAGAGTCTGGGCGTCGGTGAAGACAGTGGTGAAGAAGGATGATGTAGCGCTGTTTCGGAGTCAGATACAGGGACGTTTGCAGACACTGCAACTGGCTGTGTCCCTGAATTCGAGTAATCTTATGTAACTGTGCTGCAATTCTTGTGGTTTCTGTACTAATAGTATTTGCAGATTACATCAGATGCATGTCGGACCATTATACATGAAGCCAGTGCTTTCTTCCGAGGCCTTGACAGAGTCTAGCAAAGATCTAACACCCATTGCACCTAACCAAACAGCTTCACCTCCCGAGACCACAGCCTTAGTTAGACCGAGCTATATCATCGAGACTTCAGAATCATATGAAACACCCTACGAAGGCATCCTTGGCTGCGTAAGAATGCAAAGGAAAGCCAAAAAGATCATCACACCTTACAATCGCGGTCAGAAAACGATCATTGAGGAATCAAGGATCATTGTTGCTCCAATTTTCATGAATAGGGTTTTTGAGTACCTGTATTTTCAGAGCTATGGCCAAGTTGCGCGAGCTCTGAAGAGCTTCCCGGTCCTGCCGTGGCACTCACCTATTTTTACAATGTGTCGGATGGGAGACATCACAGGCATTCAGCGAGCTTTTAGCAATCGTGAAGTGTCGCCGTTCGCAATTGACGAAGATGGCTGGACGACTCTGCATCACGCTTCAGATACCTGTGATCTGCAGGACAAGACAGCTGATCTCTGTCTCATGCTGATTCAAATTGGGATTGATTCCATGCAACCTTGTCATGGCGGCGACCAGGCTTGGCGTTTGGTATGGCAACGAGATTCGTCAGAGAGACTCTTAAGAATAATCACTCCAGATTGGGATGATGTCACGTTCAATGATCTTGAGTCGATCTTGGACTCATGGGAGGGACCTGTATCAAAAATGGAATTCATGCTCGCCCATGAAGGAGTCCAAGACAAGATAAAGCGCGGATCTCGTCTGTGCGGTTCAGATGTTCTGCTGAATCTGGCCTTGAAAGAATATGGCTCGGGAGAAGAGGAATGGAAGAGTATTATTAAAACTCGGCTGAGGTGCCATCCTAATCTTCACACCTATCAAAGTCGGTACGGCTATGGAGACTGTTATACTTCTCATTTGGACGCCGTTTTTCATTACGCAATGTCTCCCCTTGAAGCAGACATAGCCGGGAAGAAGTGGCTTGATCTTTTGGCTGAGGAAGGGTATGATGTGGTCACATACTTAAAGACAGAAGAGAGACTACGTCTCAAGCGTGCACTGATTCTAGATCACTCTAGTCAATTTTCTTATCTTGGTTACGAACCCCCACGAAAATTGGTCTTTGCTTCAGGGGAATATCCTATGGTCACTTGGGACTGGTGGATTGATTCCAAGTCACCTGCCGGCCTTGTACGTCATGAATATCGACATCTCGACTACATAGAAAATCAATGGGAAGCGTTGTATCCTTGTCCTTGGCCATTTAGCTACGCAAAGTGGGACTTTGAAGGAATAAAATGGGGAAATGATTGGCATATTGATCAGTATGATTTTGCCATGAAACGCTACGACCGGCGAGCAGAAAAAAAACGACAGAAGCAACTACGAGCACAAGGCCGTCACAAACGTTCTCGAATGCCAGGAACCTGGGTCGAATAGAGCCCATAAAACACGCGACCCGATGAAGCACAGTCAATTGGCCCCAGCTTCAACACCATGATACCTCTAAATTGACGGGGGCCCACGTCAACGGTACCAGCGAGGAAGCACTTCCTCATACCCATCAGCCGCCTGATGGACGTCCACCTGAAACCCGAGACCACGGAAACGATTGACGGCGATGCCGATCTTTACCCACAGAAAGTGGTTGAGCCCTCAATCTTCGCCGCCGACGGGATCACCACGACTTTGGACAATTCTTAACCTAGTAAATCTAAATAGCCCCAAGCAATGAGACAAAATGTTGCATAGAAAAGAGCATCACGAAACGAAGCGATTTGTCCCCGTGAAGTTCTCCTTTATTGCTGTCAGCGCGACGTACCAGTATATAGAAGGTAGGAATGGAAAGAAAGCGTCAAGCAAGACAATTTGAGAAGCCGAGGGTGTTTGCGGAGTCTTTAGGACTGAATGGGATGCATATCAGGACCATCATGGGTCTTGAACAGCTGGAAAGTGGAGAAGGAACGGCGGGTACTGCGTACAGCTGCTGTGAGGACACACTACAACTTTCATTCCCAAAGCTCAGGAACTTTATGTCGGCAATACAAACTGGTGCACCACAAACCCTGAATTCTTTTTGAGCGCGCTTGCTCCGAGCAAACGGTTTCAAGACCGAGGTGTTGGGAGCATGCTCTTTAGAAATCATCAGCTCCACGATATAGAGATTTTGTTCACACGAATGGGGACGACTGCCTCAATACACACGAATGATTGATTAAGGATCGCTGCTTGCCTGTACTTTCGACCCTACAATTCGCGGTTCTGGCAAATTTCTCGATGATCATTATTGGAATGCGAGAGGCGTATTTGGGCAATTATGAAACACTGTGTAGAGCAGTCTATGAAATCTACGCCGTCCGAAGGGTTTGAACGAATACGGGTAACGCTATCAACCCTCGCCTTCGCGCAAGAGGGAGAGGGGGAGGAAGGCGGAGGCGGAGGCGGAGGCGGAGGGGAAGGGGGTCGAGAACCCCTTACCCAGCAGCCCCTCTAAACAAAAAACTCGACGAAATTGTCCTCCGTTGATCATTACAGGTGTACACAACACAAACATACGAAAAATCAATCTAAAGGCGTACTGTTGTGAATAGACGTTAAAACCTAGCCGGAGCTGGTCGAAGCATTTCGATATCACCAGTCCTTCACTCCGCTAGGACTTTGCTTGGTAAATAGAAGTGCCTGGCTGTTGGTAGTATCGCGTACAGAGCTACTCCTTCTGATAGGCTTGTTCATGGCTGATACTCTTCCCTTCCCCCCCACCTCCCGCCCCTCTTCCAATAGGATTTCGATATCCCTCAAGCATAACCCCCAACCCCTACAAAAAACAAAAACAAAAGAACCTCATGCAACGCCGTCGCAAAGCAGCAGCAGCGGCAACTCCCCGCCGTGAGTGAGTGAGCAACCATCAACCCACTCTCACACACGACAAAAAATCTGCAAGCCAATGGTATTCGGTCAATAGTAAAAAACTCGCTATGACTGACTGATTAATTTGTACGAAGACATCCAAGCCGCTATGCACAACCCAACCCCCTCCCTTCGTTCTCCTCATCCAAATCCCCTTTTTAAATCGATCTTGTCCTCACCAAACCCTCTCCCTCTCTCCCTCTCTCCAAATATCCAAGCACACTCACAACCCACCCCTCAAACCCAACATACTCCTAGCAGCATCCGCCTTGATCGCACTACTCGTCAGACGTTCCTCTTGCTCCTCGCCTCCACCCCCCCACTTTTACTCCGTTTCGACGGACTCTCCTCATCACCTCCAGACCGCGGACGTCTAAGTCGAGGCAGTGCGGGGGTTTTGAAAATTTCCTCCCCCTCCCCCTCCCCATCCCCGGCCCCGGCCCCGGCCCTAGCACCCTCGCTTCGTTCCAGCGACATCAGTGGACCCCCCTGCCTCCCCTCCCTCCCCTCTTCCCCCGCCGACGCGCCAGGTAGCGCGGGAGATACGAGCTGTGGATCAATCGGGCCCGCAGGGACGAGTGGCGGTGGAGCGAGTAAGGTTTCCCCCTCCCTCATGACCCTCAATTCCTCAAACGGCACCTCTTCCTGATTCGTGCGTATGCGATAGGCGGCCAATCCCAGCCTTAGGCGTAGTTTCTCGGCGATCTGCTCACGCCAGCTTATGTCAGCCTAGTTCCTTTTCCTTGATCTCGCACCCCATTGCTCGCTCGCCCCGTAGATGTGGGCCCGGTGGGGAAGGAGGGGGAAGGGGGGGGGAAACGCACCTCACGGACATTCCGCTGCACCGCGGGGGTTGCAGGCTCTGATCTTGCAAGCTCCGGCTGCGTTATCTCTGTGTGTTGGGATTGGTAGGAGTCGTCCCATTGGGAGGCTGTAGCTGGGCTTTGGAGTGTGGTGGTGGAGGAGGAGGAGGAGCGCGTGCTGGTGGCGGGACTCGTGCCTGCACCTCTGTTTTCGTTCTGCAATTCCTCCTCTTCTTCGGCTGTGGGCTTCAGGGTGGAAGTTGATGAGGCTGTGGAGTCCATCGTGATGTTGATCGTGGGGGTCGTGACCTGTATGCTTGTGAGTAAAGGAGGTAGCCTCAAATTCGTGGGGAGAGGGGAGGGGGGGAGGGGGGCAACGGGGAAGAGAGAATAGAGCCACCTTTTCAACCCTCATTGCCTGGCTACCTACATGAGCCTGCTTGACATTCCTTTCACTCGCGTGTTCGAGTTTACTCTCGGCATCTTTCATTGCCTGGTATGAACGCTTCTTCCCGCTTCCGTACGACTGTTTGTTTGCCATAGGCGCGCCTGGTGACGTATTGACGGTGTTGACCGACAGGTCGCCGAGGACCCGTCGGAGAAGGGGCGCGCTGGTCATGTTTGTAGGTCTGGAGATGCGTTTGGTCAAGATCCTTCACGCCTGATATGCTACGTTTGCACGAATAGCAGCAGTCACGTTCAACAACGGAGTTTGTTGGGGTTTGGATAGACCGTGGGAATGAGGCACAAGGGGGGATGGGAAGATGTGACGGTGGAGACGCGTCAGGGAAATAGAATGATGGACAATGCAACTACGCGTCTGTGTTGTATCCAAGAGTATCCAAGTTGCGTGCAATGTCTCCGCAATATCAAAGCGCGTCTTGTCTTTATTGACGGGAATAGGAGATAAGAGGATCTGCCGAAGACGGACCGGCGCCGGCACTGCCTTAAAAGTCTCCCCTGCCTTCTCACGCCTTAGGGTAAGCCTTGACCTAATTGGCTTGAAGTAGTACAGATATGTTATTGCCTTTATGAGATTGCGTCCAGAAAGATGTTTGTATAATTCTTGAGTCTGAAAAATACTGTTCCTCTATCTATCTACCATAAGCCCATACATAGCTTATCATATATTGCCATATCTATGTTCCTCGAGATACCTTTGACCTAAATGTTCACGGCCAAAAATTTGCAGACAAAGCCATCCAAGCACCGTCGCTAACTATACATAGCCACCCGTCATCCCAGCACGCCGACAAAAGGTCCACCCAAAACAAATAGCAAGCATTTCCTAAAAAAACGTTTGACCTCACAATTCTACCTTCTCCCCTTCCCCTTCTTCGCCTTCCGTTCCTCCAATTCTTTTGGTGCATAGAATTTCAAGAACTCTTTCACTCACCAGATCTTCCTCCTTCTCTTTCCCATCCACTCGCTTCCGAGTTTTGGGGCTGCTCTCCCCAACTTCCGTCGCCGTTGATGGCGGTGTTGGGAAAGCATCTTCCCATTTCATCCCAAGGATGGGATCTATCATGCTGGCATTGATACTGTCGGCAGTGATACCGTTGGTGAGCCACTCGGGAGGGATGTAGCTGCGATCACCCTCGTTGCCTACTGTGGCCCCTGTCCCACCATTCTCTGTTTCGCCAACGGTATTGGTAATGATGGCGTCGCTGGCCGTCAAATTGATGTTAAGATCCGCGCCGGTACTGATGTCGCTATCATGCGGGCTGTCTCCCCAATCTACGAATGGGAGATCAGGCCTGTCCATCTCGAATTGATGAGATGAGCCCCAAATTTTGACGAAGTCGTCGTCAATTCCAGCGTCATGGTCGCCAGATACCCCACTATTGAGGTCTTTCAAGGGTGAGAAGACGTTGCTAAACCAGTCTGCTGGAACTTGAGCGCCGGCCCAAGGGTCAGGAGTTGGAGGCGTAGTGATGACATTGTTCTTTTGATCTTTTGGCTTTGTGTCTTGGGAAGGCGACTTGGCATTGACTTGCGCTTGAGGCGTTTTGAGACTGGATGGAGATTTTCCGGAGCTTGTGGGATTTCGAGACATTGGTGTTGAGGCTTCGGGCTTGATGTAGTCTTGAGCCGAGGCCGACTTTTTCATGGCAGTCGATTGAGCCTGAAGACCTTGAGCCGAAGGTGTCTTTTTCATGGCCGATGACTGAGCCTGAGAGCTTTCTGGCACAGGTCGTGCATTTCCGTTCTCGTCGAGACTAAGAACGTCTCGTAGGGCTTCCAGACAGAAAGCAAGGGGATCTGTAAAGTCGTCAAACCGTGGTGAATGAGCTTCAGCAGCATGTTGATTAAGCTCTGCTTGAGAATCGAATGCCGGTTTCTGTTTGCAGTTGTCCACTGTGCATCTGAATTTGGGAGGTGGCGGGGCACGCTGCGCTTGAGGTGACTCGATTTTCGCAGGGGATGCTACCTGCTGAGAAGGTGTTTGGGCAGCATTTACAGGTGTGCCTGCAGCGCTGGCTTGATTGTTGCCCTTGCGCTTCTTTGGCTGAGGCATCCTCAATTGTTCCTGCGTCAAGGTACTATTAGGGTAATAGAACGGAGCCCCATTGGGCGATTGTTGACCAAGTGGGAATGGTGGCTGTGAGTTCGTAGGAGCAGCTGGGGGCTTGTTATCGCCTTTGTTCTTTTGCAAATTCTCAGCCCGAGACTTCTGTATGCCCTCCTGTTGCTGTTTCAGTGCTTCAGCTGTCAACTTCTGTGGTTGTGTGTTCGTGGGTGTAGGTGCTTGAGACTGGTTATTCACTGGGCCGGCTTGGCTGGGTTGGCTGGCCGCAGATTGCTGTGCCTGTCTTGCTTGCAGTTGTGACATAACATTGCTCAAAGTTTGTTTGAGTGTTATGAGAATCTGATCCAATTCAGCCGCGGTGATGGTAAAATTTTCAATGGGCGTCATGTCTCTGTCGCGGACCTGTGCTTTCAACAAAAGGTGCTAGGTTATGTCAACATCTCATTTTCCATCCTCAAGTGCTTTGTGCTCACCATGCGTGCAAGTTCTTTCACTTTTTGTTCATCTCCAAATACACTGAGATGAAATAGTAGACCGGTTTGAGCTTGGTCCAATATCTTCTGGCTTTCCTTTAGCTTTTGTACCATTGACAACCTTGTCTTTGCATTCATTGGCACAGCTTTTCGCTGTGGCATCGATTGTGCAACCTCTGCAGACAATTGTCGAAAACGTTGCTGGGTCTGATTACTCATCTGGGGCCTGGTTGGGTTCGCGAGATTCTTGGGTTGCTGTGGAGGCTGTGGAGGTTGAGTAACGGACGCGCCTTGTTGCTGCCGCTGGTTTTGCTGTGCGAGGAACTGCCGTTTCTGTTGATCAGTCATACTATTTATTTGTTGGGCAGTGAAATGTGGCATTTCTTTGGGGGTATGAACCGGCTGGTTTGCCTTGGTTGCAGGGCCAGTCTTTGGAAGCTGTGGATTTGCTATTTCTACCACCTCATCGCTTGTGTTTGCGCGCTTTGCGCCGCCCTTTTGATTGCTCTTGGGGGCTTTGTTCTGATTCATGTTCGCTTCTGGAGCTTTCTGTGTTGTTTGATTTGCGGCATTGCCTTGTGGTTGATGCTGTGGTTGCGTCATTTGTGGAACTTGCGGCGCCGAATTTGGCATTTGAGCTTGTCGCTGTTGTTGAGCGCGTATCATGTTCTGATAGTGAGCTTGCTGTTGTTGGTTGTTGTTCGGATTGTTCATTTGCATCTGCTTCTGTCTCATCAACCTTATCCGTATCTGGTCGTCGGGCATGTTTGCTGCATCTGGAACTTTGCTCCTCACTGCCTGTATATCCGCCATAGTAGGTTGTTGTATCTTGGACGTTCCACCGGCGGTCTGATTCATCTGCGCCATTGGTGCTTGGTTGCCCCCTGGTAACATAGGAGCGGTAGGTGCCTGAGAGACGGTACTGTTCTGTTGCATTTGAGCAGCTCTTTGTTTCCTCATGTGGAAGGCTCTGACTTGATGCTGATGAACTGTAGGCATGAAGTTTGGCGGTAGCACATGGACGTGTTGGGACGCAAAATTCTTTAGCTGGCCCCACGTCTTAGCATTATCGGGCATTTGGGCAAAGACTGGGTGACTTTGTCTCATCTGTGGGTTGAATTCCATCCCATCCATGTATCGCATTTCATTTGGTGTCAAAGTCACATTCTGTGGCATTTGACCATTGATTTGGTTGGCCATTTGAGCGGGATTCCGTTGAGCCTCTGGACCCTGGGGGCCCCAATTCTGAGCATTTCCAGTATTGGCAACGCCGCGGGCATTGGGATTGTTGGCAAGCCCAGCGCTTGCATTAGATGGTTGTTGTGGAGGCTGCGACGCCTGCGCCGGTGTGTGTTGCTGTTGCTGCTGCTGCTGCTGCTGTTGCTGCTGCTGTTGCTGTTGCTGCTGCTGGTGCTGGTGCTGCTGCTGCTGTTGCTGCTGGTGCTGCAGCTGCATTTGCTGTTGCTGAGGGTTAGGGACACCTGCTTGCGCCATCCCCTGCTTTTGGTTGTTTTGATTCCGTAGAAAGTTCGCTAGAAATGCTTTCCGTGACTCGTCTGTTGGCAGATTGGCTACATGCCGTTGGACCTGTGGTGGCAGGTTCGAGAACCAATGGGGAAGCTGTCGAAGTCGTTGTTCATTGTTTGGTTGGGCGCCTGCTGGAGGAGGCTGATTTATAGCGCCTTGACTTACTTTCCCCTGCTGTTGACCGCTAGGTTGGCCCTGTCTCGGAGAAGGGCCTGCTTGGGATTGGCCAGTAGGATCCAATGGTTGGTTGAGAGTTGGCAAAGAAGGTGTCTGTTGACCCATATTCATAATACCGTTTAATTCACTCAGTTGTCCTGGCATGTTTTGCTGTTGGGTGACCTGGGGCATTTGTGGGGTAGGCTGCTGTTGACCTTGATTCGAGGGAATCTGCGACCTCTGACCAGCGTTCCAGAGAGATTGTTTCTGCTGCTGGAAGGCTCCTTGGGGCTGGCTCTGCCAGTTATTGTTTGGTCTATTGAATTGCTGCTGCTGTATTTGAGATTGTGGTCCAGCCTGCTGAGCGTTTCCTTGGCCTTGCGCAGGATTAGCCGGCACCACCGTCTGACCAGCTTGCTGTAATCGGAGTGCTTCCTGTTGCCGGGCTATGATCTGTTGGCTGATATCTCCTTGGAACGTTTGAATCGGTCGTTGACCGTTGGCACCTGGAAGGAACATGCCACTCTGAGGTGCTTGACCAGCTTGTTGAATACCATTTGACATGCCCAAACCCTGAACCTGCTGCTGTTGTTGTTGTTGATGTTGTTGTTGTTGTAGCTGCTGCTGCTGCTGCTGTAGCGACCTTTGCTTCGCGATTCGAAATTGCCTCATGGCCTCTCCTTGAATCCAGACCTGGATTGGGTTCATGCCCCTGGCGTGCATTTGGGCTCTGGACTCAGCTGGGATGGTTGCCACCTTCTTCGCGATATCCTCCTTCCGCTCCTTTGACATGTTGAGCTCCATTTCACGAATCCTAGCATGTATCATTGCTTTTTCTGGCTCAGTCAGGTCGGACGTGTTCTGAATCGACATGGGTGGCTGAGGAGTTCGCGAAGGCTGCAATTGTTGTTGATGCTGCTGTGGCTGCTGATACTGCTGAGGTACTTGCATATTATTGGAGGGTGCTGTCCCGTTGTTGAATCCTGACATACGGGCAGCATTGGCAGCCATCTGCTGCTGCAGCTGCTGCTGCCGAGCCACTTGCTGGGCTTGATTGATTTGATTGATTTGAAAAGGCTGCTGAAGCTGATTTGGGTTCATCATGCCTTGTTGGAACATTGCTTGCTGCTGAGGGTTGAACCCCTGCCCGGATGGATTCATGGTCCGTGGGAATTGTACACCGGCCTGATTTTGCCTTGTCTGGGCTATTTCTTGAAATTTCCTATGACACGCTTGACGGTAGGCATTCTCATCAGACGAATTATTGAATTCCCGCTCTTCGAAATTGAACGCCACGTCCAAAACTTTCTGTGGTGTCAGGTCTGGCTTCAACAAAGAAAGCTGCGTCAGGATTTGCTCGATGCAAGAGACACGATTTTCGAGGCGGAAGGTGCGCTGCCAACCCGGAGGCGTAGGTTTACTGCGAAGGGTGGCTAAGATCTGGTGTCGAATAAGCTGGCCCTGGTGTTGTGGTTGAGGAGTTGCTCCGTTTTGAATGGGATTGGAATTCATCACGGGGTGCGATGATTCAATGTGGCTGGTGTGGTGGCGTCGTACAAGACCTACACCTGCTTAGATTTCCTTCTTCCGGTATACGCTCCTCGGCTCTTCACGACACACGACCTAGAAACCAACTCCTGCGTCACGCGTGTGCGACTCGGCTAGCCAGGGGCCGACGCTTCATGAGGAGGAGACGGGCAGACAGGGTCGAGTCTGCTGCGGGTTCTATCGAGTTGCAGGTGAATGATGAACCAGCACTCTCAACACCAAACAAGCTTCTTTCTATCATAAACTTCTCTTTATCTAAGTATGGGCTTCCTGCATCGACCGAGTCACAGATAATGGAGAGGCTCAAAGCACCCCACCAAGGATCCCCGTGAAAGTCTGGCAAAGGAAGAGGACTGAGGACTGTGTATTCAGCAGAGGTGAACGTGGATAGTCAGACAAGGGTGATTCGTAAAGCTGTACAGTGAATAAGTCAGCCATGCTATTTCGAGCGGTGTACGAGGAACCGTCGGCTGCAGGATAGCGCTTACAGTGGGTCGGTTGGAGAGACTTGTGGTTCGGGATAAAAGGGCTGACAGCTTAGGGTAGAGTGAACAAGGTAGTCTGATGATGCCAACGAGTGTATACAAAGCATGTCCTGTGAAGAAGCAGAGCAGAGCGAACGGTGGTGCTCGGGGAGAGCAGCACAAACATCGAGACTGGCAGCAGATCGGCGTATTTCCCGCAGCGGCCAAGCCCTGCGCCTGGAGTGCGCCATCGTCCAATAATCCCGCGAATGCCGCCTCGAAGGTTCCACGGCGCCCAAAGAGACCCAGACTAGACCCACGCCATGCCTGGAGAGGCCTAGAGCTGCTTCACTCTTTAGGGTCGCTTCCGCCTAAAGCGTCACTAGCTCTAGCGCCCGCTTCCCAGCTGGTGCGCAATTGGGGGGCCTTATTCTGGCTCAAGTCTGAGAGTGCTACTTCATACGATGATACCTTATGGATGAGAACATCGCAGAGCAACGTTCTTGCACGTCAGACATATCTTACTGTCTGTGGACTCTCTCCACTCTTAGATGATCTCTCCCGATTAGTATAGAAAGCCGGCCTGAATTCCGCTATCTTGGCATACTAAGTCCTGTGCAGAATAGCGTCTCCTGCGCAATCAGCGTTCGAGGGATTTTGGCAGGCAATCGCCAACCTCATCATGATACATCCATCTCTACTGCTTCCTTGAACAGGATCTCAATGCAGTCACGACAGTCATGACGTCCTCTATTGGCTCTGATGCCTTCGCACTCCTCGCACTCCTCCTCATCTCCCTCTTCGTCCTCCTACTCCTCCGCCACTTCCTACAGCTCCGTACGACGCCCGCCTACCTAACGCTGCCTGTCTTCTTGGCCCTTGCACTCCCCATCAGTATCATACTCTTGGTGCCGATAGACCTTGCATCCAGCTCAGGCCCCGAGGATGCCCTTCCACGTGGGATCTGGTTGCCGAAGAGAGCGCTGTTGGTTGCCTGGCGTTTGGCATACTGGCTTACCTTCGCCCTGACATGGTAGGATGAAACATAAGACCTGTGATTGAGATTTGCTCAGAGACTATAGGGCTATTCTACCCCTCCTTGGCGAGTATGTCGACTCAGGCTACCGAGCCCCCAAGGACAAGTTCCTATACTCGCTCCGGTCAAATGGGAAATATTACTTGCTAGTGTTTTCATGTGCAGGAGCTGCGGGAATATACGTCTTCCTGGTCAATGGATTCAAGACAGGATCGTTGAAGTCATTGGTGATGGCGTGAGCAACTCGACACTCATCATGTCGAAGAAAGAGACTAAGACAGGCATAGGCTTGCGTACTGCTACGGGTTGATCCTAGCGATCTATCTCATGGGGCATGGCCTAGTGGCTGGCCCTAGACGGCTCTTCCGAAACGCCAATCTCCCAGAACGACTTCGCCGTATCCAAAGTCAGGCGCCAAAGACGCACGAAAAGCTGACAGATGCAACAACCGAGCTGGAAGAGCTGGAAGGTCAACTCGTGCAGCTGAGAAGGAGGAAGAACGCTGTGTCAAGAGATCATGAAGAGTGGATAGAAGAAATATCAGATGCGTCAAGTATACGCGATTTCCGGCTTCCAGCCGCAACCAACCAACTTTCTGCACCTGAGCTACCTGCTGTCATCACCGATAGATACCTCGCAGACTTTTCAAGAAGGCTGATGCGAGCCCGACACAAACGGCTACGATTTGTAGACGAATGGGATCGAGTGGTACAGGAAGCTGCTGATGTCCAAGCCGTAGTCGATGCGGCAGCGTCAAAGCAGCTTGACTTTGGCAAAGCATCACCGAGCTCATCATGGGTGGAGCGGATAAGGTTCCTCACGCCATATACCAGATATTTGCTCCACTCAAAGGTGATTCCAGGTGTGAGGATGTTCTTTGGCGCAATATTTGCCCTGGCGTCGGTGTGTATTGTCTGGTCTGAACTGATCAAGTTTGTTGCGCCACGGCTCTCAATCATCAGCTTCACCATCCTCTCTCACCCTCAGGCAGACACTGCCTCCACTGGTTTCAGAGGCCAAGTGACAGCTGCGCTCTGGCTCATGTACATGTCGCTATGTACCCTCGCGAGCTTCTCCGATGTCAAGATCTGGGGCAATCGGGCTCTCGTACCGCGGAACACCTATGGAGAAAGCGCCACATGGTATTCGTCCCAGGTTGCCAAACTTACAGTACCATTAGCCTACAACTTCATCACCTTCCTCCCACCTTCCATTCACCGCGAGACGACATTCTACGGCTTCCTTGGCCAGCTCATCAATCTCACCCCACTTGGCAAATGGTTTGACTACTTTTTCCCGATCTTCATCCTCTTCCCCGTTTGCGCCACTTTATTCAACCTTTATAGTCGAGTACAGCGCATCTTTGGATTCGGCATTATCGACGAAGACGTCGAGTCGGGTACTTCAGCACTCGGCACCGGAGGTTGGAGAGAAGGCCGCGACTTAATCAACCGCGAATTGCAATCCTCAGCACGACTTGGCCTGGCTTCGCGCAGTGCTACGGACGGCGCATCATCGCCTCTTCCACCAGGCAATCAAAGCCCGCGCCGCAATACACCAAATGCCAACCCTAGCAACGCCAACGCCCGTCCAGAGCTCGGCCGGCAATCAACGGGAGCAAGACAGGCTCAGCGGCTTGCTGACGCTACACTTGCCGCTGAACAAGAAGATGAAAGTTTCTTCGAAGGATTTGCGCACCGGGTGAAGAATACATTCGACACGATTGAACGACCGTCGTGGCTCGATGAGCTAGGTAAACGGCCGAAATGGATGGGCGGCGTAGAGGGTAATCAGGAGAGCTCTGGTCGCGCCGAAAGTGGAAGAGGGTTGGGGAGGTGGTTCGGAGGTAGGGGTGACGATGGGAGAATACGATTATGAGTAGCTTTGCAAACAAATTTCACGTTAGAGAGCAAGGCGTTTGGGAGGATCCTCAGGTAGCTTCGTTGTCGTAATACATAGATCGCTATGAATTGATATGATATTGGTCCCATGAGACCGCAAATAGTTTTTCACAGATGAAGACCAGGGCAACGAACATGGAATCTTATCATTGACTACACCTTTGACCCTCTATCAGAAAGTGGTACCACATGTCGCTGTCTGTAATATGGCACCGAGAGCATTTGCCGATGCTTGACGTAGCGGCTTGGCTTTGTGTAGATCATGTGCCGAGCGTTCTGATTGGTCAAGGCCCCAATGGGTCAAGCGCGCCTGACTTTCTGTAGAATATGTGAAGGATTGGATATCCTCACAACCGTTCCCCGACCACGAACTGCCTAGACGCCCGCCATCCACATTTCTATCGCAACACTCGTACAAAGCCAGAACAGCGCTTCAATGGGTCAGACTATGCCTACGCGATACGAGCCCCTCATCGTACAATAACCAAACCTCCCCGAGAAGTTGGATGTAAATACGTGAAGAGCCTGGAAGCTGTGTAAATGACCCGATCGCATATATTTGAGCCCGATCATTCATTGAGAACTCAATTGACCGAGCACCTCCGTCTTCAGCCTGTATCTTAGCTCGTGACGCAAGCACTTTGGACCTGGAATTCATGGGCTTCTCGGCAACACTACAGGCGCTGCACGACTGCCAATTGTATGCAAAGACCGATACCCACAGCAAGTCAGGCAAGGGATAGAAGGCCGGGTGTATCATGACTGCTGTCACCACCTCACATCGAGGCTTCCCGCCATCTCAGCGGGTGTCTGAGGCCGACTCAGACCAATGGGACTTCTCGGTCCCAGATCCATTAGTGGTGAGTCAAGGATAGATAGCGATATCGAATCGATACTACACATCGAATGCTACACCATAGCTACATGACCTATTGATATACTGACACTGCACGAACAGAACAAACAGGAGCAGCTGCCTTCTCACCAGGGCAACCAGCAGGGTACCCATCAGAACGGAACGTACGCGCCCTCGACACAATATCAGCCAGAGTCGAGAAAACGGGCAAAACCAGCCAGGGTGGAGGGAAACGATCACTTCACTGCGAATGCGCCAGGGAGCATATCCAAGGGATCGAAGAAAAATTACAATTTGGATAATGCATACCTGTCTCCCCTGAAGGGCGAATTTAAGCCTGGATCAAGGGGCAGCAGAAACAGCAGTGAGCCAGATAGTCTACTAGAGCTGTATGGAAATCCTAGAGGTGCGGATGGCAAGAGTATTAGGGAGAACACACCCGACTCCAAGCGATCAGCCTTTCAACCGCCACCAGAAGAGACCAACGATATTGAGGAGGGAGGAGCAGAAACGTCCCATTGGATACACAGAGACAAGCTGCTCCAGATTGAGAAACAAGAAATGCAAGAGCTAGGTATCAGTCCACCGCCCGCGCCCAGAGCAGTCAGCAGATCTAAGAGTCGCCGAGAACGAAGTCGGAGTACTCCTACCGAAGGCGATGCTGAGGGCGATCTTGATGCACGACCCAGTAAGGAGAGCAAAAAAGAAGGCTGCAATCGCCGATTAGACAGCTAGAGGAGGATCCTCAGCCTGACCAGCATGACCCTCAGACTCTCCAAGACGCTGGTATGGATCCTGATGCTGAGAAAACGGCATCTCCGGTATACCGTTCGCAGCATCTACGCTCCAGCTCATCACGCATACCGCTACCACGATCCAATCCGATGTCAGTGACGCAGAACGCCGACAAAAGTACTCCAGTGTATCACACACGCACCGCCAGTTCAGGAGACGATGTAGTGTCGTATTCCCGCACAAGGAGTCGAAATAACAGCGTTGGCTCTCAAAATCTTCTGAACGATCCGCTCGGCACTTCATCACCAACAAGTCCCTCCAACAATACCCAAGGCTCGCCCTCCAAGAATCGAAGCATCGGCAGAGCAGCCGGTCACAACCGAAAACCCTCCATCTCCAGCCCCGACGGCCCAAAATCCCCCACCCCGAACACCTCACGTACGCCATCCGCATCGACACCAACCATCCAACCCAAATCACGTCAAGGCCTAGAGGCCCGCCCACCAACTGCGATCAACCGACCAGAAGGCGAACCGCCGTGGATCAAAGAAATGTACAAGCCAGATCCACGCCTCCCTCCAGAGCAGCAAATGCTCCCCACACACGCGAAGCGCCTACAACAAGAACAATGGGAGCAAGCGCGCAAAGAATCCGAAACGCGCCAACGCGAGCTCGAGAAGCAAACGGCCCGCAAACCCTCCAACGTCCCCATCGAACATGACCGCGACAATGAGAAGAACGCCCAGCCCCACGGCCGTGGCTTCAGCCCCGTCGCCGTCCACACGCGCGACGGATTGCAGCCTCCTCCTCCCTCATTCCAAGACCAGCGCGCCGCGAGTCCCGCAGATAGGGATAAACCCCTGCCCAGCACCGGCCATTCTAATGAGAGTAACATCCCGCAAGCCAGTGGGGGGGCGCTGAGTGGCCGCTGCAGCAGAACAGTGAGAGAAAGCCGCCCTCTTTGGCGATCAAAACGTCGCCGACTTCGGTTGGCGGCGCGAATGAGGGCAGGAATAATGCGGGATATAGTCCCCTTCCGCCACGGGTGCCGCCGCAGGGGTTGAGGCAGGATGGGAGCACGGCTGCGAGGGGGAGGGGTGGGGGAATGGAGAGGGGGAGGGAGAGGGAGAAGGCGTTGAGTGATCCGTTTGTGAGGGAGAAGATGGCAAGGGCGGAGAGGGAGAAGGAGAAGGACGGGGAAGGGGGGAGGGGGAGGGGAGGGGGAGGGCAAGGGGGGAAGAAGGAGAAGGGGTGTGGAGGGTGTTGTGTTGTTATGTGAATAGGAGGGATCTGGGCGGGGAAAGGGGATGGGGATGGGGATGGGGAAGGGGAAAAGCGGTGTGAAAATGTCTCTCTTTGGCGAGTTTGCATGCGATGGTGTTGGTGGTGCGATATCTGGTTTCTGGAGGTGTGCTTATCTTATGATATGTTTATAGAAGACCGTAAAGACGCATATGGTTGGTTGGTCGGTTGGTTGGTCTGAGATGTATCTGTGAAAGGGGGGAGGGGCGGGGCGGGAGACATCTTCTTGTCATCTTTTTGCTCCCCATAAGATGACTTGTGTCTACTTGAACTATGTTCTTAAGCGATATCTGCGGCTTTGAGAGCCTGCCTTGCCTTGCCCCGTTTAGGGTACCGAGCGCTGTATGTATGTATGTATGTTGAGAACGAGGGGATTGTATGTTCAGAGACTTTGGAATATCAAGGTGCCTCTACCTTTCCCTCTTATATCTGAGTATTATATTTTAATATATCAGTGTAAATGGTCTATCTCCGCGGGGACACGGAGCGGAAGACAGGTATCGATGACACCCGCCGGCCCGAGAGCATCGCTAGCAGTGGGTCGAATGCACATAGAGTGTGCTACGCTATCGTCGAATGTTGTAGTCCTAATTTGCGTGTTAAAGTCGGGTCTGGGGGAGGTGAAGGGGGGTGGCACTCACCCCGCCCGACCGGTCTGGCGAAGATATCTCTAGCGTCGCGCCTCTCACATCTCTTTAGTAGTGCCAACAGCGAGAAGATGTTAAGACCAGAAGTCGCCGCCGCCGCCATATTAGCTTGCGCCGATTATCGAGCTAGTGAGGCAACGCCGTGTTGAGGTCATGGGAGGCCACATGCGATTCCGAGCTCGTTCGCTTTGGGAGGGTTGGTGGATGTGTTTCATCTCTTTCTTGGTCGTTGATGGTTTCGGTGTGAGGGCGAGGTAGTGGGACGAGATACGATGGTGGAATTCACCGGGTCGGGAGTTGGCAGTTGGGAGCTGGCAACGATGCCCGAGTAATAGCGAAAGGGCATCCGATAACTCGCAGAGGATCCGAGAGGCGGAGCTCGTTCATCCAGGCAGTGTGACCTGATAATACAGCGCCACGAGCGCGACCTCAGCTGTATGATCATCAGCACTTTTCGCACCCCTCCCCTTGTCCCCCACAATCACAAATTCCACCAGGAAAGGTCTCCACTCACCAGCAGCGCCCGAAAGCACAAAGCCCATAACTGTAAACACGGTCTGCAGTTCCCCTCCCCGTACACACCACACGATACTCACCACCACAATCGCCACGCTAACCGCGACCGCCACAACAGCCAGCTTCTCTGCCCACAAACCCTCCACAAACTCTAGTCCCACGCTCACCCCCTCATTATCCTCCGCCATGTACGCGAAGAAATCCACCCAGCTATGCTCCGTCCTCAACTGCTCAGGATGGTGATACGCGTGCATGAACGCGTGTTTATTCGGCAGATCCTTCTCTTCCACCCTTACAGGGACTTCATTCCTCGTATACGTGATCGGCGCCACGAATTTCAGTCTCTTAAACAGCAACAACCTCCTCCATACCAGCTGCAACTCGTTCCGGTAGATCGAGCGGATGTCGCTCCAGAGTTCCGTGTCCGTCGCGCGACGCCGGTCGTAGCTGTACGGTACCGTGTGCCAGCTCTGCGCCGTCGTGTCGCGGAACACGGACAGTAACAGCTCGATCTTGTTGGGTGGGTTTTTCTCGTGAGGTTGGCTGTACCCCGGCGCGCCGCGGGACCGGTTGTTGTGTCGCCGTTTTCGGACTGGAGGAGGGGAGTGCTCATCGTCGCGGCCGCGGGAGGGGGCGCGACGAGGGGCTGGAGGGCTTGGGGAGGGAGAGGGCGGCCGTGAAGGGGGACGTGAGCGTCGTGATGCCATGGGTACCTTATGCAAGGAGTGGGGAGGAAGAGGGAAATTGCTTGGCGGTCTGGGCGGGAGGCCTTGGTGCGTGTGAGGATGTTTGGCCTGCCGTAGTTACTACTTTCTATAGTTTTTAGACTGCCATAACGCTTACAAAGTTTTGTCGGCCAACGTAAAGTCATCAACTGGCGGCGCTGACGTGCGTCAATGACTGCGACCAGTGGGGTTTCCTGTCTGTCAAATCTGCCCGTGGAAGATGGCGGAAGTCGATAATTATGAATGAGGCTTAGCTTGCTATTGAAAAGGATTCGATTGGTTAGTTCTACAGAAGTCGAGGACTCGAAAGCCGAGGTATCATTTCAGCAGGAAGACAGATCGTAACGAATCGGCATCGACTTGCGAGACAGTTTGCGGATTACGCTACGACAGCTACAGCTACATCAAATGGAAAAGCGTCAGATTGGCCAAAATCGGAAAACGCTGAACGTATTATGCTCAGCATAATATCAGGCTTCATCTCATCGCCACCGAATAGAACATAGAGGGTTGGACACTTTCAGAGAATATCTACTGAGAGATTGGCAATATGGGCGACGACAGCAGCCCAGCAGAGCATATTGCGGCGATGCAAGCCCTGGCCTCCCAATACACTCGAGGGCTGCCCTCTGTCACCACCAGTGCTCTTCAAACCACACAATCGCACAAGGACATCCCCAAAACAATCATCCTCACCGGCTCCACTGGCTCCATTGGATCCTACTTACTACATTTGTTCCTCTCAGACCCCAGCATCTCGCACATCTATTGTCTAAACCGGCAACGATCTCTCTCGCCCTCTCTCCCGGACCGCCAACGCCGGATCCACACCTCGCGCGGTCTCACCACCACCTTTCCTGCATCCAAAGTGACATTTCTCCCCGTCGACCTCTCAGCCGCTTCCTTCTCTCTCCCTCAGCCAACCTACGATCATCTCCTAGCAACAGTCACCCACATCATCCACAACGCCTGGCCCGTAAACTTCCTCCTCCCATTCTCCCATTTCAAGCCCCAAATCGCCGCGATCAGAAATCTCATCAATTTCTGCCTTCCCCCTCCGCATCCGCAACCAGAACCCTATTCTCGAATCACAACGCCAAAGCTCTTCTTCACCTCCACCCTAGGCGTAGGCATGAACCCTCTCGCACCCCACTGGCCATCCTCCACGCACCTCCTTCCAGAGAAAATCCTGCATGATTGGGACGCTCCCACGTACACCGGCTACGCACAGGCCAAATTCGTCGCTGAGCAAGTCCTCGTCACAGCCGCGGAACGATGTGGGCTGAGGGTAGAGATCTGTAGATTGGGGCAGATCACAGGTCCGGTGGGACGGAAGGGGGTCTGGAATCGAGGAGAGTGGTTTCCGAGTTTGGTACAGAGTTCGGTATTTTTGGGGGCGGTGCCGGGGGATCTGGGGGGCGGAGGACAGGGCACGGGGGAGAAAGCGGGGGCGGGGGAGTTGAGATGGGTGCCTGTTGATATTTGCGCGAAAGTTATGGCGGAGCTGGTCTTTCTTGATGAAGACGGGGCAAGCGATGAAAGGGACGAAGAAGATTGGGTCAATGATTACCTTGGCGACAGAGCATCCAGATCTGATCAGCTGGAAAGGAAAAATGGGGTTAAGGTCTGGCACATAGCTAATCCCACACCCACAGATTACCACGAGCTGCTTCCGGCAATCAGGGAGTTCTTGCCATCCACGACAAGAGTGGTGGGGTGTAGCGAGTGGGTAGAACTACTAGCGAAGTCGATGAATGATCAGAAGCACAATCCTGCGAAAAAGCTGTTGGTGCTGTTTCAGAACCTAGCGGCGATGGGGGAAGCGGGGCTGATATTGCCTGGGCTTGATACCGAGGAGACGGCGAAGAGGAGCAAGGTCTTGAGGGATTTGGGACCAGTGAAGACGGAGTGGGTGGGGGCGTGGATGAAGCAGTGGAGCTTCACGGGCGGAGGAAGGAGTAAGATGTGAGGAAGGCAGGAGATGCGTGGTCCGTATAATTATTAAGGAAGATGCGATGGGGTTATGATTTCCATTCGTACCTAAAAGCGAAAATTCGATCTCTTGCTTAAGAGTAATACTTAACGATCAGTACAACATACCTCTACACCACCGATATATCAGCAGCTCAATCGACGCAACAATTGGCTCGGCTATATTTTCGAGACCTCGGTACATGCAGCGCTAGCATCTTGACGCGAAGGATCAGGTTGAGACCACTTTACAGTTGCACAATCTACATACTGCCAGAGGAGTCTCCAAGGTTGCTTGCACGGGTACACGCCTAGTATTCAAGATGTTTGATGCAATATCCAATGCGTCTTTGGCCCTCGTGTCAGTCAACCTGGATGGACAGCCAGCTGTTTAAGACTACTACTCAGAGACACACTCGACGAACTACATACACTTAGACTCATTTCGGATTCGGCAATCGTGCCGACATGTTTGCGCGACGTAAGGAAAAGCACAGAGAAGGGTCTACAGAGGAATCAAGAAAGAAGCGAGATCGAAGGAGCAAGAGCGCCGAGAAGCATGGACTTTTCCCTTTGAATTCTCCAACAGATCATGTCAATAAGTACCGACCCACTTTCTTTGATTTCCGTGCAAAGCTAAGCATGATCAAAGTATTATTGCTATCCATGGTCTGGGTGGTGATGCTTTCAACACCTGGACTGACAAGAGCGGCCACATGTGGCTTCGTGATTCCTTGCCCAAAGACTTGCCAGGATCCAAGATATGGACTTACGGGTATGACTCGGCAATAGCATGGAGTAGTTCAATTTCAGGAATTACGGACTTCGCTCATGACTTGCTTGAGCGGCTTTCATCAATTAGCATCTCTCCTGATGGTGCTAAATTTCCATCCATCCTGATATGTCATAGCCTTGGAGGTATTGTCGCAAAAAAGGCTTTGACATTGGCGAAATTACTGCCTGGTTACGAATCGGTTGGCAAGAGTATCAAGGCAGTAGTATTCATGGGTACACCGCATCGGGGTTCTCGCATGTCGAGTTACTTGACCCCGCTCTCGCGTATCGTGAATGCTGTTACGTTTTCAACGCCCATTCGTGCCGACCTGATTGGAAATCTTCAAGTGCTTTCACGAGAACTCTCCGAGATCGCCGAGTTAGCTGGTCATCAATTGAATCAGATTCCCGTGATATCATTCTATGAACAGAAGAAAATGAAAGGTATTGACTGCTTGGTAAGCTATCTCCTCACTTTGGAGTGGTCTCTGAACGTGATCCAATAGTTGTTCAGGTTGTTGAACCCGCCTCCGCGATCTTGGGGATAGACAACGAGCGTGCTATTCCTATAAATTCTAATCATAGGGACATGGTGCGTTTTGCATCGCACGAGGTAGAGAGATATCACCCAGTCAGAAATAGAATAAAGAACCTGGTCGATCAGATTGCCAAAGGTAAAGAGAGTCATCAACCAATGAAGACGACCCTAATGATTGAACAGAAAATCCACAGGACTCAAAGTATTCTCGTTATGTCCACAAACTCTACTGTGTTGACTATCAGACTCTCCTGGTCGAAACGGTACAGCCGTATCCTGGTACCGGCACTTGGCTCTTTGAGAACAAAGCTTTCAAGTCTTGGGCCAGAGAGTCTTTCTCGGGTATATGTTGGCTTAGAGCACCTGCTGGTTTCGGGAAGACAGTCATTGCTCGAAGTATCGTAGAAAATCTCAAGGCAAGAACAAAGCTAACTTCCAAGCTTGGCTACCTACGGAAATCGGTCATCGTCCATTACTTCTTTCGCCACGAGAAGAGCGACACTCTTTCAGAGGCTTCATTCCTCCGATCAGCCCTTCACCAGCTGCTGCTGGAATCTCCCAAATCACATCTACTCATGGACGACAGGCGATATATTCATAGTCCGAGCCGTCGAGAATTCGAGCAAACATTTAGCCTGGAACTGCCTTGGATGTGGAGTGCCTTGGAGAAAGTCCTGGCCATGGAAGCCTTCGAAAGGAGCGTGGTCATCATGGACGCCTTGGATGAAGTCAGCGCGGTCGAAATATCATCGATTTTGGAAAAGCTCATTTCAATGATTCGCGATCTTAACCGTGAGAAGCCGTCACACCGGATCAAGATCGTAATTCTTGCTCGACCAAATTTCCATATTGAGAAAATTGTTCGTCACAGCAACGCAGAGATTATTGAGATTGGTCCAAGAGAGACTGCCACAGATCTGGAAACATATGTAAATTCGATCGTAAAGGACTTTGGGGCAGAGAACGGCTTTCCCCGCGATACTGTGTCAAAGATTCAGAGTCGACTCATTTCCGGGGCGAGTGGGATGTTTCTGTGGGCACACCTAGCATGGGAACATTTCAAGCATGGAGTTACGATTTGGGATCGAGCGAGGATTGATCGGAAGCTTACCTCGCTTGGTCATCTTCCTCGCGGCCTTGAAGAATTGTACCGAAAGCTTTTCCTGTCTATTGGTGAGGAAGTGCAAAAGGAGCTGGTTTCCATATTCATGATCATGTGCGCAGCCGCTAGACCCCTCAACTGCAACGAATTAGGTATCTTGCATTCTATTGGAGAGTGGGATGAAGATGATCAGGAAAACCACGTTCCTCTAGAGTTAGAGCTGACGTTGCAGAGATACTGCCCGAATTTATTTTCCGTGGACTCCGATGGACTAATTCACTTTGTGCACCTTTCTCTCAAGGAATATCTTGTGGAACGCCTGCTCAACGTGACTGTCGAATCCATTCACCAGCACCTAGTCCAAAAGTGTATTAAGTATATCCACTCTGCGCACTTCGAGAAGGACGCGATTGAGGATCACTTGAGTGATAAGCTTGAAGAGAGCCATGTCTACAAATGGATGTGGTGGGCCAGACGTGAAGAATGCCCTCTTCATAAGAAATATCTGCTTCTCGACTATTGCGCAACCTTTCTGAAATACCACATGGAGCAAATCGCTTACGACGACCCGGCTTGGATTCAATATTCTCAATTAGCAGGGACCCGTGAAGTCTTCCATACACTCACCGAACGAATCCATGAGAATCATGCTCGGCATTCCTTGTACGGGGGTGAAACTCCCTTAATGCATGTGCTTCGGATCAAGAATTGGGATATGGTGCCAAAATTTGTCGAAGCCAATTATAACATCAATGAGCCAATAGATTCACCTTATATCTGGTACGGAATATCAACAAATTTACACGAGCATATTACAGACACATTCGTCTCACTGCTCTTGCTGGCAAATGGAGCAGATCCGGATGCAAAAGACGGGAGTGGCAGAACTTCTCTACATTTTGCTATATGGAATCGGAATATAGCCGTAGTCGAAAGACTGCTCGAAATTGAGGATCTTGATGTGAATGCACAGGATGATCATGGGGACACCCCACTTCATTACCAAGTATCATGTGGCGCAGTACCAACGCTTCTTTCTCATAGTCGTATAGATGTCAGCAAAATCAACGGACAGGGTATGACTGCCATGGCTCTTTCAGCTATCTGGGGTGATCATACAACATTTTGCAATTTTCTGGACGAAACTGATTTTGACCTTGACAAGCATTGTGGAGGCCACAGTCCCTTGATCTGTGCCTGCCAACAACACTGGAGAGAGATCACACTGAAGTTGATTAAGAAAACGTCTAATGTCAGCAAACATCGAAGCCTCGATCAGAAAACCGTACTTCATTGGGCAGTGGTGAATGGATGGGATGACGTCCTCCAAATGGCGCTTAGCCATGGCGCCAAAGTAAACATAGCCGACAATTCTGGCAAAACGGCGTTGCATTATGCTGCTCAGCTGGGCCATTACAAGGCTGCACGCTATTTACTTCGGCATGGGGCGTCTGCCAGGATACAGGATGCTGCTGGTCGTACAGCAGTCCATACGGCCGCTGTCGAAGGATTTGCCGATACCTTAAGACCGCTGATCTTAGAGTCAGACTGCGATCCAAATGATAAAGACCAACAGCACCGTTCTCTCGTGCATTGGGCAGCATCTTGTGATTGGGCTTTCCTCATGCTGACAGTACTTGAGATGCCGGATATCGACATAAGAAAAAGAGATCATCACGGCAGGACTGCAACTCATGTCGCGGCCATATGCGGTTGTCCCAACGTCCTGAAACTATTGATTGAGCACGATATTCACGACTGCTCAGAGGTCGATGCCTTCGGTAATACGACTCTGCATCTGGCTGCCCGTGGACAAAGCGTAACTGCCGTGGAAGTCCTCATACCGCACTATGAGCTGCAAAAGAACCGTATCAACTTTTGGGGCCAGACCGCCCTTGATGTAGCGATGACATATGGAGCTAAAGACATCAAAGATTTGCTTCTCGGAGAAGGCGTGAGATTCAATTCCACTCGTAAATTCAGAGTCGATAAAGACGAACAGGCAATCGCTGTCCACCCAACAGATTATGTCCAAACGCCTGATCATTTATCTTTACTCATTATCAACGAAGAAGCAAGGAAACGCCGAGATAAGTTCTATGGGAAATATAAAGTGGAAATTTGTGAAAGCGACGAAAGCTCAGGCTTCGAGGACAGCGAAAACTCAGATGAATCTTATGAGTCTCAATCCGAGAGCAAGCTTTGAATGCCAATGTTCATGGTTATGGTTCCCACATCGGGCTTGACGAACAATGTTTACAGGAGTACTAGAATCAAAGTCATCGTGTACTATACGCGCTTGACTTTCCACTAACTTCAAAGACTTCAACTGGAAGGGGAGCTCCCTTCCGTTGTACTCCGATCTTTACGCTCTGGGTTCCATGAATGAAGATCGACACCCCAACCTTGCGCCAAGAAAATGCCCAAAACATCGAATGAAAGTCATTCTACTTGATTGTCGAGCATTGCGCCGGTATGGCTTCAAAGGACGAGCCAGAGAAGTATCCCCTAGTCAGAAATAGGCTCAAGAACATGTGTTGCCTTGTCCAGCGTAGTCATATCACAGTTCTCATGAAGGCACTTTCTACATTTTCCTTGTTCAATACGTCTAGACTTCCAATGGGCGAGAGTCATTGTTGTACATTTCCATTCTGGTACGACGCTTTGTCCGTCAAGAAAGTACCATCATCTTGCTTTGTTCCTTTGATTCCCCAATAAAGTTCCGACATCCTCTCCGTCATCGTTCCATCCCTACATCTTGGAGGTTTTAAAGTTGCTCAATCTCAAGTCAAAATCATCTACCACGTCAAGAATGACAGGCACCGACTTCATCAGCAGGCTTCCATTCGAGATTAAGACTCATATTTGCAAATGCATCTTCAAAGGTGCAATCACCTCTCTGATGGAGCCTACACATGTAGCAGATGAGTCTGCGACCACCACCACAAACGCTGCGATATTCGAGCAAAGCATTGATGATCTCAACAACCTCTCACTCGCAAACAAACACTGGCGCATCATTACCCATCCCGTGCTCGACAAGATACCCCGATTCATTCTACAGGACTTCCTCAAGCCTGCGCCATGGCAAATCGCAGAGACACAGCTTTCCCATCGACGTACTCGCGAAGGTTTACCGCCAAGAGAGGAACAATCAGCGCTCTGTCCCTACATAGACTCGCTATGCAAGCTACCAGCGAAGTTCAGACCATGGGCCGTAGCCAAGACAGCGCCTTCTACGCCTTACAAACTGGAGAATTTCCTCCAAGAGCGCGGCGAGCACTGGGCGTGGTGGACAACACCCGTAGCGAGGGAGATTTTACTTCCTGCTTTGAACATCCCACCCATTTATCTTGACGATATTATTTCCTCTAGTCAGCCAGAAGAACAAGAGCAAGTCCACTGGATCGAAGGCGATTTCGCCAGTCAAACACTCCATCAGATCCTCATAGGCTTCGGCTACAATCTGAGCCAGAGTCTCGTCATGCTCCTCAAGGCTATGGATGTGGATAAGATCCGACTGCGATTCAAACCCAACGAGGAGGAGAAAGCTGTCATGAATAAGGTCGTGGAGGTTTCTACCATTCAGCCTGAGGAACGCGGCGGTTATTGGAGAAGGAAGGCGGAAGGGACGAATAGGACGGAGGTGAAGACGATGCAGGCTGCGGGCTTGGTTTGGCAGTATCAGGATGCTGTGGATGATGGCGATTGGTAGGAGTTCGTGGAGAGAGTGGAACAGGATTAGGAGGTATTTTGAAGCCATTGCAATGGCTTGTTTGCCAGCGCATCACATGTGGTAATGTGGGTGGCCGAGATATTGCTTGTCTTGGAACAAAGAAGGTCACCAGCTTTAAGTAGGGAAGGCTGTCTGTCGTCTGCAAAGCTTCCTCTTTCCTTCCTTATCGCAGGTATATGTTTCTGTCTATTATTGACTCGTCCCAAACTCTAGAGCTATCTCGTCCCGAATCTCGCTCATGAAAGCTTGAGTTTTACCTTCGAGAACGGCCATTAGACAAAGGTGTGAAATACGCTTTATTCTTTCCGGATGCGTCAACATTGTGCTTTGATCCTGAAATACTCAAAAACTTGCATTCTATTACCCAAGACGAGCGATTCTTATTAAGTTTTGTAGATGTCCCATGTACTGACGAATTGCACCTTGTAGATCCAAGCTGTCATTCATTCGCAGCCCCAGGCATGACAACCATCGACCGGATCAGTGCATGCCCGGCAGAAATTCAGAAAGACATATGCGAACGCTTTCAAAATGACGTACAGACTTCTCTGGAAAAGCTCTCAAATAGACAAAATTCGAATCACATCACGCAAAACACTCTCAGCTGCGAGCAGAGCCTTGACGATCTTCTCAATCTATCCTATACAAGTCATTATTGGCGCAACACTGTGAAACCTTTTTGGAAGAAGATCAATGACTTCATACTCAATCAATACCTCAAACCTGCGCCATGGCAAAAGGCAAAGCAGCGCGAAGTTCCAGAGACGCAACGTGTCACCCGTGTTACCCGACAGACTCGCAACCAGGGACCTGCATTACATACAACTGACATTGAAAAACAAGAAGACAGGAGTGATCAATTAATGCTCATTGCGTATGTGGACTCGATTTGCAAGCTGCCAACAAGATATCGCTCCTGGGCCATCGGAAAGAGCATGCGAGCCAAGCCATACAAGCTCTTCGCCCGGTTTTGGGACACCCGGTATCCGCAAGCCGGACGAGACTCGGAGGTCAAAGAATGGGCTTGGTCCAAGATACCGCTGGCAAAAGATGTTCTATATCCCTTCATGGCTCCAAATCGTACCGATAGCCCGCCAAAGTTTCTAGCACCCAACTCGTTTCTGAGTGTGGATTGGATTGCAGATGATGTGCTCCGTCGATCTTTTGACCAGATTCTCTTGGAACTTTGGGACAATGAGACATGGAGTGTGCTTATCCTACTGAAAGCCTTGCATGTCGATGGAGTAAAGCTGTCATACGCTGCTCGTAACGCAATTTTTGTGTCGGGGCCGACGCCTCCAGAACCAAAACAAACGGGACAGAAGCAAGCGGGACCGAAGCCGAAGAAGGCAGCAGGCAAGCAAGGAGGGACGCGAAAAGGGACGCGAAAGGGTAAAGGGCGTGGTCGTCGTACATGAGAATGCCACGTATGATTAGCGAAGACGAGTGTGATGGGCTGCAGCAGTTGTAGACACTCTTGGAAGTGGACCAATAAGGTCTCATTTTGTCAAGTGTGTGATCCCGCGTTGTTTACTGCGTATTGTCCAATGATACATCCAAATTCACGAGAACATGACATGACACGCAAATTCGCACGAATGGCCTTGTCACAGTCGTGACACGTCTTGGTTTCGACCTAATTCTCTTGAAATTCTTTTCTCTTTCACCTAATTCTTCCTTCCTATCACTCCAGATATCTCCAAGAACCTGCTTCTATCGCTTTCATCTTGCAACACCATTCATCTGTCACCAAGGAATACCAGCTCAAAGCAGATCTATGATCGCTCCTGAACAAAGAGATCATGAATAATTTACCATTCGAGCTCCAGACGGAGATAGTCAAGAATATACAGAAAGATGTGACGGATGTAGGGGACTTGCTTAGGAGAGCGAGCGATGCCCAAACAATCGAAATCGCCGGATCTCTGTTGAAGACACACTTGCATGACCTCTGGAGCCTTACTCAAGTCAGTCGTCGACTACGAGATGTCACAAGACCAATACTAGCTCGGATACGCCAATATATCTTGCAAGATCTTATTCAACCTTCGCCGTGGGCGTACAAGGAGGCAGAAAGCTCAGGACAAGCAGCCGTCGAAGCCCTCATTAACAAACTTCTCGATGACAGTCCATATGTTGCCTTCCGTGAAATCTGCAAAGAGCCCAACAAAAACCTCGAGTCCATCGAAGACTGCCTGTTATTCCCATACTTAGATTCGATCTGCAGATTGCCGAAGAGGTGGCACTCATGGGCAGTCCACAACACCATGCCAAGCAAACCCTACGTATTTCCCTCACCATTTCAACTCGTATACGCAGAACGCCTAAAACCAGCACTAAAACTAGTAAAAAAGAATGAGGATTGGTCATGGTTCAAGTTTACAGCGCCGGGAGATCTGCTGAAGTCATTTGCAGACGAGAAATCCGGGGAGAAATGGTTCCTGCCTCCGTGGGTTCACTATCCGCTGAAGACTGACCCCCTTGGCTGGAACCTTGATAAATGGATCCTGAGAGAATTGCGAGATGGAGAATACAAGGGTTTGCTGGCTTTACTTAAAGCCTTCAATCCCGATACAGCGGTGCTGCGGTGGTATAGAAAGGAGAATCGGTATGAAATTGCCGCGAAGCCGCCTGCCGAACAGCAGAAATCAAAGAAGAGGAAGAGGGCAACGGCTTCAAAGGCAGCAAAGAAGGAGAAAAGGGTAGCGACCTCAAAGGCAGCAAAGAAGGAGAAGCCCAAGAAAAAGATGACGAAGAAAGGACCCATAAAGGAGGGAAATCGGGTAGAAAAGGCAGGACGAAAGCAGAAGAAGTGACTTTACGAGAGGCAGCATCACTAGTTGTTGCAATAGGTCACGAGAGTATGATGGGATAAACATGATCCATTGTCGTGAACAAAGGAGATAGCGAGGTTTGCAGATCCTGCATTGTGAGATTGTGTAGTGTTCTAACCTGCCTGTTGATAAGATCCTGCGATTTGTGGCTCTTGTGCGAGGAAAGGCGGAGACGGAGTGATAGAACACCATGATGGACTACCCGAAAAAGGCACGAAAGTCGTTTGCGCTTTGGGAAGAATGCTGGATGACACTTGTAGAGAGGAACATGGTGGGACGGTCGAACGGTGCAGCTGTAGACTTTGTTAAGAACGTAGGCCGCGCGTGCAAGTCCGTGAGCATCTGCCTTGTGCCTGTCTCCACTCTCCTTGCAGCCTGGATCTTGCTCCGGCAAAGGACGGTATCAGTGCTGTTTCACTTTGAAGTGCGAGGTTGCTGCTGTTATTCCAATGTAGAGATAGTCCTGTGGCGAAGAGGGGGGGTCCGTGTGACATAGAAACATAGCTTGGCTCAGTCAACACACATGACCCCTTCTTTCAAATTCCTATCAAAGCCTTCAATTTATGAACTCTTATTAGTACTTTCCTCGATTGGGCTTAGTATACACGCAGATGCGGAATTTACCTAGAACAGTGCGAAACTACTCTAGCTAATAAAGTAAGTAAGATAAAACTATTTTATATTAAATATTTCTTACTATCTATAATAATTTTATAGGGCTAGCTAAATATCTAAGTACCTTTTATAGTATAAATTAATATACTTAATAGATCTTAAAATATATAAAAAGTATTCTTTTTATAGGAACCCTATATTATAGCTTAGGTTTTATAGAATAAATAGTTGTTAGTAGTAAATTCCTTTATTATTTCTATTAGGTTAATTAGGGAACGCTAGAAGTCTTATAATAGAAATCTAAGGTCATAGCATAGATACAGCAAGACTTCCACACAATGCTAAGAGGGAGGGATCATAGTAAAGAAAAACAGATTGCCATCATATACTTTTATGAAGAACTACCGGTGCGGACTATTGGGAAGGTAAGTTTCACCTGGAATTACTCAGGTAGTCCTGGTACTGATCCTCGCAAGATTGTACTAGAAGCTTCGGCCACCCTTGACAGATACATATCTATTAGCATCCGTGCGAACCACATGGATATGACTAAGTTCCTAAGCAATGAAGATCCAGACTATCGAAACGTACTTTCCGAGCTTCAGAGGTTCATCGAGTCTGGTCAGCATCAATCGAAAAGGGTGGTCTCAGCGTCTCCTGAATCCTCCAACAATGGAGAAAAACCTCACCGTGAAATACAGAAAGAGATTTCTTCAGCAGGGGAGCAAGATCAGGCTGCTGTGCATGGAAAAGCCAGTTCAAAGGAGTCAACCAAATTGGTCAACAACTTTTCTGGCAATCTTGATTCCGGGGGAGGAAAAATGATTCAAGGGAATACATTCAATTCAGGAGGCGGGTCAATGAGCTTTTGACGAGAGAGCACAAAATTTGAGGGACGCATTAGTTGTCCAACCTTGCAAATTAATGAGTATGAACGTAAAATAGCGTAAATTAACTTAGTCTTTATACAGCCATTATAGAATTTCCTGGCAAGGGTTCACCGCTCGCAGGCTCAAATTAAGGCAGGCGCCGGCGAGTCAGTCTTCGCCCGAGCTTTAAAAGAGCTTTACGGTTCCACGTCGCTCTTCTGAAGTTGCAAGTTGCGGAGGGCGGCGCTCATGATAGTCCTTAGCTGGATTGCCTAAGCAATGGAAAGGTCCGGTGGCCATTGTGGCGTGATAAAGACTGCACGACTAGCCGTGCAATGAGCTGAGGTGTCCAATCAGAAAGTACAATTCCATTGAGAGCTACGCGGACAAGGCTTGGTCGCCCGTCGTGATCTGCGCGCATACAAACATCATGAGAGTTTGGCATGCCTGCCAGACATGCAGACAGATCGCACTGTTGTCGAGAGAAGGTTCGATGGAAATTACAACAGCCATGGAGGGTCGCAGCTCCTGGGGAACAAGTTTGATACGAACGGCGGGCCAATCTACATCGGCTCCCGCTCTGGTATGTGCCGATTAAAAGCGACTAGTCAGCGGCCTTCAACAGCAACCTTTACCCTCCTCAACTTTAGCCCGTGGTTTTGACTAGCATTCTCAGCCACCAGACTCCTACATGATTCATCCAGAAATGCCAAGCTACTTGTATACAATATTGAGCCCAACACACCAACCATAGAGACTGGGGACGCCCACTCCGCTATCCCTCGAATCATCTATGAACGAGCTCCTAAAGCGCGCTAGGTCTGCATCAGACCTTGACCGACACCCATGTATCCTCCGAATATAGTCCTTTTCCAATTCCCCATCTTCCTCTCGTCCTTCTACGCGAGACATGGAGCAGTCCCGTTCTGAACTTACACGAGGGGGGCTTTGTATATCTTCCAATCAAGATTGAGCTGTCGCGAGCTCTTACGGGAAGCTACATCAAATGATATGAAGCGGAGAATGGAAGTCTGCGGTTCTACAATTAGTCTTCTTTACTCACTGAATATTTTGCCCATCTGCGAAGGGCTTCTCTTAGCATTAGTGGTATCGCTTGTATCTTACTATAAGATGCTTATTACGACGAGACTAATAATATGCTAGGCAGTTCAAGGTTCTCAGTTTCCCTAGGGTATTCCATAAAAAATGTTTCTCTTAAAATGAATATACAAGCAGCAAGAAGACATTTCCAAGGGGAGCAAAAGGCGCGCAGACCCTCCTTACGTGTGGGATTGTTCTGAGAGATCTCTTAAAAATGCATGCAAGCTTCTTCTTTGCATGAGCCTGATTGTCTCTTATTTCCAGCAGTCGACAGTCCAGAGAATCCTTTTCACTGTACGCTCGCCTGTGGACTTGAATCTTCGCAGACGCTATCTACGATCTGTTGTTCACGATAGGTGTGAGAGAGCACTAGACTTGCTGGGCTATCGATTTTGTGAGTCTTATCTGAATATCATAGAAACAAAACTGGATGCTGGAAGTAGTAGGTTTGCATAGTAGATAAGACTCTTCTACTACCTAAGGCCTGCTGAGCACTTACGCAGCGGGCAGCGACTGCAACAAATCGAGAAGCGAAGCGCCAGCAGAAAGCATCACTAGAGGTATGAATAAGAGATGCAGAACCAGATATCTCGGTTCATCTGCTGACCGATCAGGAGAGGCTTAAAGTTTTTTAGCGGCAGCAGCCTGTGTGGTCTCGGAAAAAAAGCGTGCCTCAACACTGAATGCCAGGAGATCGCAAGAGGCTACGTCCTACAACTTTAAGCACAAAAATCATAGGCTGGCACTAGTTAAGAGTATTGAAGACAAGTTACTGTAAACAGAAGGATTTGTATGTCCGCCACAATAAAGGCCTTCACCATGGCCTTGGGCATGTGGCACAGTACTGGCGGCCGTCACAATCGCAGCTCACAAATGAATGACGGTTCTTGTTCGACGAACCGGCACAGATCCTTGCTTTACTTCCTCCGCAAATGCTGCAAGCGATCTTGTAATAGTGAAGCAATGTTTTCTCCCTTAATAACTCCATGAGCAATCCTTCAACTTGATTGATTGCGTTTGCAAACGCTTGGTTCCCAACAAGTTTGTGCAGATGCTTTAAGATGACTTGAATTAAGAGATTCCGAAGTAAAGTGTCTGACTCTGGCGTATTGCCGAATGCAATTGATATGGCTGTAGCAAGGTCATCCGTCTCCCAATCCTGTTTCGCTGCAGCGTCAAACTTGCTCAAAGACGTTGTTTGTAGAGAAGGGATGTGGTATTTCGAGCCCAGCACATACATCTTGCTCTGTATTGTGAGAACGCCCCCTCCCAATGGGCCATCCACTGGAGAGAAAGCGGCAGCAGCGCAATTGTCCGTTGGGTCTTTACCTCCGTCCATCTGGTTTGCGTCAACGACAGAGTCCTCAACACGCTTTTCCTCTTCCCGAGCGGTATCTTCAGCGAATCCATCATTTTCAAGGGTTGAGCCTCCTCCAAAAACTTCATCGGAATTCTTCCCGGGTAATGGATTATTCGATTGGTTTACTGCGCTGGGTGGTGTGTCAGGCTCATAGTTGTGTAGGTAGAGGAAGTCAATCATCAACTTCACGGCCTCCGGATCATCGCAGCCAAAGTCGTCTGAATCGTCTTGGCCATTGATGGCGCGCAACGGGATGATGCTGTCGCCGTTCCGGGTCGGGAAAAGGAACAAATGCACTGTGGCCGACGAAGAGACTCAAATGCCCTAGCTCCGTCAGAGCCACTTGCTACGCTGCCGGACAGTGATACTGTGGTGATTATCCCATCGGCTGCTAGGTGCCTTAAATCCGAGATTTTAACCCCCATAGAATGAATCCTTTATATCTTAATGAATATACTATTAAATGAGATAAAATTAATTTTATAAGCTTTTATAACTATATAGTTAATTCTTAAAAGATTATCTTTATAAATATTAAAATATTAATAATAAAATTTAAGTTTTAAAACTTTAACTTTTTTTAAAGAATTTTAAAGTAATAAAATATATTTAAATATATACTCCCTTAAGCACCAAACTAGTATACTATTAACATAATATTAAAACTCTTAAAATATAAAATTTTTATATTAATAAGTATTTAATTATATTTATTATTTAATTGAGATTGCGCGATGAAAATACTTAAAAAACTAAAAAAGCAAGTAATACCCCTGAAATAAGGCACCTAGCAGCCGATGGGATACCTCCTACCTAGTGACTTCAGCGTGCGCATCACCGGCGACGAGCTCAAGGCAAAGATGGAGGAGGCAGGCTTCGTCAACGTCCAGGTCACAGGCTTCAAGCTCCCCATCGGCGTCTAGCCGGCTGATCCCAAGATGCGCGAGACCGGCAAGTATCAGCTCGTGGCTATGCTAGAGGGGCTGCAGGGTTACTGCTGACTCTACCAGGTATTCCATTTATGGACAGAAGCCGGAGGTGTGATCGAGGTGGGGAGATCTTGGTGAGGAGCCTTTTCTGCAGAACCAAATCGGATTTGCTGGCGAGGACATTTGTGCTAATATATTTGTGTCAATCTCCTATTCGACGAGCCCGTATCGGCCGATGGCAGGACCCTGTAGAAATTCATGGCGCCCTTGGCAGTCTTGGCAGGACGAGAAGACATTATTGTAGGCTGTATACGAAGAGAAGATTTAACATACAAGTCTTCGTCCAAAGGAGCCCGACCCCTTGACGCTCAATCCAAAAATAGGTAAACCACTCCTGCAATGGGGTCTCCATCAACGTGTTGCACTCATGAATGCTTCCAGGTAGGCTAGAAACGCGGAGAGTCGGACGAGTAGCTGTGACAATAAGTCTGCCTGGTCGGAATTTGAACCCAGGCATCTTTCTGTGGCTGGCTTGGCTTGGCTTGGCTCGTCCCAGTCTGTACAGCTTCTTGCTTTAATGCTTCGCTGTGGCCAGGCTCTCTTTGCTTTTCTTGTGTCTTCACGGACAGCTCTCAAATGATCATCGCGTTCTCTGATATCTGGGCGCATCGCATGCTTTACGAACATGATTTTCTTTACGCGCATCCGCCGACTAGGCTTATTGTCCCTTTTGTCCCTGGTTATTGGGAGTTCTATCCTTTTCTTGGTGGGAGCCAACTGCCTCGCAGGCATGCGCGAAGAAGGGCATTCGGGCGTGCAAGGACGGCGTCAATTTCGTGTGGGGTCGTCGCACAGTGTGCAGGCATGGCTCGCCATCCTCGGTGTTGGCATCAGCTGTGTCATATACGGGATGCATGAGGCCTGGATCCATATCTTCGACGCTCGGTGCACGTCGATGGCCCTTTCGCTGCACGGTCTCGATTACGGCCGCTACCAGAACTCGCAGCCCAGAGCGCCGGTTCTTTATGGATGGCACGGCTTTCGGTGGATGATCACTTGCAGGTATTTCTTGGTCGCCTTGGGTGTTATCGCGACCATTGCCTATAAATTTGCGATCGTGCAGGTGTCGGTCGCGGTCGTCGAGCCTCTCACCCTATCTCAAGTCAAGCTCTCTGTGCCATCGCCAAATGGGATAGACAACGGTACAACGAGTCCATTGTTGTCCGACAGCCCATCGGGTCGTGAGAACCGAGGCTTTGTTCACCTGGGGGTTACATCCGTACGAACTGGCCCAGATCAAATCATCATGGTTGGCTTGGCAACGTGCGACGATGTTTTCAGAACCTTGGATAGTGGGACACTCGTTACTCGGGAACTCGTCATGGTCGCTGATCGTGTTGATCCCGAAGGTGATTATTTCATGAAATCTGACCACACGGGGTGGCAGCGAGATAGAGCAGCCAGTGAAAATAAAGATTCCGAATGGGTCCCAGGGGATGTTGGCGCCATCGTTGACTTTGCCATACAGGACGCAGGCTCAATCGCCATTCCATGGGCGCCTATCTTTTCAGCTTGGGATGAATGCGGCTCATTCACCTCCAAGGATTGCGATCCGACTCCCCATAAAGTGATCAGCCGCTTGAACTACAGCATGACGTATGCCATTGCGGAGGTGAGGCGGACGGTCGCTGTAGGATCTTGTTCTATCTTCTCAGATGACAGCAAGGCAATTGAACTCTTGGCCACTAGCCCACAAAAAATACAAACCGAGAATTCAGACGGTTCGATATCACTGTACAGGAACTGGGTTGATGCTATCATATACAAACAAGATTCCACTCCTTCCGAAGGTGTGAGCGCTTTCGTCCGCGCAGTAATGATTGGCTGGGCGGTGCAATCCCCCGACTCCGCGCCAGAGTTTGGACATGCAGCAGGGCAGCCGTTGGGACGAGAGGATAGCGGCCGTCGCCTCAATTCAGAGCTACCATACCCATACTTCATCGGCGTTCGTGCCAATCTGAGTTCGGGAGGCTACATAGGCGTAGCTGTTGTCTTTATCATAATCGCATGCCTCAGCCTCTTGGTCCTTGGATGGAGGCTCCTGAAGGGGGCACCAAGATTGACTTCTTGGATGGCCCAACATGTTAGCCTCAATCATCGTGGTGATGGTGCAGTGCTGGCCAACGGTCAAGACGGTCTTGCTACAGGATACGATTTAGCGCCTGTAGACACCGTTTTTGTCAAGTTGGAACCCAAAGAAGTCCTGCACGATGCCCACGTTGAGAAACAACAGATATTTCATATTATGATTGCTGGGCACGCAAGGCAAACATCGCCGCAAGAGGCAGTCCTTTGATTCGGCTGGGATTGAATGAACTTTTTGGTCCTGTGTTTGTCTTGGGGGAGTCTGATGGATAAGCGTCGATTACTTGGGGCTTTGAAGGTTCGCTCGCTCGATCTGGCCACGTGTAGTCCTCGCCAGGTGTCTTCCATACCCAAGATATGTCTGGTCGCACCCTTGTATGTTAATTAATCACTGAATGTTATACTCTGTTTCCTATCCGTACCTATGGCGCTGGCAAGCTGTTTCCGGACCACGTCAAGATCCATGCATCCGCATGTGGACACTTGCGGTGATACGATGGTGATTATTAGTAATGTGCTTAAGAGGGGATGGACAAGCAAGATTCATGCGGAAGAAGCAGATGCGTGGATGAGTAATAATCCAAATAATGACTTTTCGAGTGATGGGTTGCACTTCGTCATTATCTTTAGATAGATGGGAAGCTTTTTGTCCGGTCTTAAGGTATATTATATCCGTAATCAATCAAAAGATCGGATAGGTTTTCCTGTTTTGGACAGATAACTAAGGCAGCTTCGCCCCATTCCTTAATCGACCCGATTAACTCTTAAGTTTGTGAAAACGACAAGAAGGTAAGGGAAGGAAGGGGCTTATGACAGTGATAACAGTGATTCGCTTGAAGGTTCAAGTCCTTTTATACAGTCATCAGCTGAGCATTGATCGATTAACGTGTCATGAGCATCTTTTGGGGGTTCAAAGTCCTCCTGTACAGTCATCAGCTGAGAATTACCCCCTTCCTTCCCACACCACACTCGAAAACCTTGATGTATGCAAATACATCAACACAAGGGATACTGGCATAAGAAAACCACCCGACGCGTTGTTTACCTGACTCATACTCAGGCCCTCTACCAGGCTTCCCAACAATTGAGGCCGATTCGGCTACCCTGGTGGACGTGATATTGTCTAAACACGCGATAGGACACCCTTGGGCCTTTCCCGCTCTGAGATCGTGCAGCATTCACGGCGAGGGTAATTTGGGATAACCTCCGGATCTCTACCTCACTCGTACTGAGGACCTGAAGCTACTACTGGGAGTGAAGGTAGTGGTGGATGTGGCACCGTGCCTAGAACCGGGGGGAATGAGGCTTGGTTAGTGAAAGAATGGCAAATACATCGCGGGCAGGGTGCACGGAAACACCACTCTTTTGCAAGACATGGTCGGCCTGTATCAGCTATCTTCCCTCAAGATGCTGTGAAAGGGAGACCTCAATAGGTATCACAAAACAAGCATTAGCTTGCGGGGCGAGGTATGCAATGGCGGCCACTGAGGAGACCGTCTGTATAGCCCGAGAGGACGGATGCGCATGTCGGTGTATAGACTGTGGGTCATGCCCAATACTATATGCTTAAGGAGCAAACTACTGCTAAACTAGCGATTGAGATGGTTCTCCTCCCCATCAACAGATCACGTCCAGGTGGGACAGCTAGGTTAGGACCCTCAGGAAGGGGTTACACCAAACCTACATACCGCGCGAGGGACTATTGAGATCATTGCGGTATTCAGTAGTGGGCAATAAACAGCTGGAAGGAGGATTGGAAGACAGCACCGAGAGCTTCCAGCTTGAAGCAATGGTTCGAACAACCTTCCATAAGCATCCTGAAGGCCCATAAAGGTATGAAAAAGTCTCAGTCGTCGCTACTGACACAGATCAGAACGGAGAAGATCGGGCTTCCCGCATTCCCGTACGAATGTAAGGTCCCAAGGATCACCTCCCTATACTGCAAATATACGATCCCAAACAAGAAGCATGCCGCATTCCACGCCATTATGGAGTGTCGGCATCACGAGGACTGGAGGACACCGGTGTGGGAGGAGGCGATGAAAAAAGCGAGGGACAAACGAGGAGCTAGATCGACGGGAGTTCCTTACAGCAGGTTAATCACAGAGCTAGCTTCGACAGCAGCTTACATCATGAGAGACACAGACCACATACGGCAGTTCGAGGTCTTGAACGAAGAGCAAGAAGAGTGGGTTCCCCACGGAGAAAAGGAGTAGTGAGCCGGACACCTACCCACGTAGACAAGTAGAGATCGATGGACGACAGCGAGGTTAAGTCGTACCACCGACGGTATATCAAACATCTTCAGGAGGATATAAACACCAAGAATCTGGGTATATGTCGTAAACGTATGCTCAGCATGCTTAGTAACGTAAATCCCGGTATTTTGGCCCACCCCTCCTCCAAAAACGCGTTTGTGACCAACAACTATTTATTATTCCACAACCACAATGCCAAAAGATATAAGTTACTATCTTCGTTACATCATGTCCAAGAGGGTATTCATGAAGATACGAACAACTCCAACTCGCATTGAAAACATTTTAACATAAAACAACAGGACGCTAAATAACACGGATTACTTAAAATCGACTTATTTCGACCAAATCAAAACGTTGAAGTTTAATCCCTTTTTACATGATGCCAATGCCGTAGCGCAAGCATAACAACACCCTTCACCGCATCTGATAACTGCGTGTCTCGCCCTTTCCGCACACCATGCTCGGGCTACCGTCTCCTCGTTCTTCCCCAAAGCATTGATGACCAAAAGTTCGTTGGGAATGGGATAATGGTTTTTTAGATCGGGTACTCGGACCGTATTTTGGTGGTATTTCTGTGCAGTTCTCTTGTGCAGTGGATGCGTGCCTACGCACGGAGGCGCCGATACAAAAATAGGGTTTGAATACAAGGTATATGTGACGCTGACCCCATTAACGAGGAATTTTAGAGATGCACGATACTGCTCCTGAGGCAAATCTGTGTCGACTAATGGGCTATCTGGTCCAGGTGCATTCAAAGCCAGCTCGATGGATTTAAGGACACTTTGACTCGAATCGTTTGGAGGAATACTCGGAGGATCTGCAGCGGCCCAATTATTGACATTGGTAATACTCTCCACGATATTGGACGAATCCTCGGAGTTAGGATCAAAGCCAAACGTGACCAGGATATCATTCTTCCTGCTGACAGGAACGGGGACATCCACAGAACGGCTTATCAGGCGGACCCAGCCTGACACGTTGCCCGCAGGCTTAGGCAAAGGACCCACCCAGCCACAAATTGACTTACAGCTATGAAAGCCTCCGAGGACGCGACCAAGAACCGTAATCTTGGGCCAGTAGCTTTTATCGGCCACGATCAGGCCATTATCATAGAAAGGGGCGCCCTTGAGGGCCCGGGAGGAACAGGAAGCGAAAACCAAACAGCACAATATGCGGTGGCGGAAGAATTTTCCGGGCAGAATCAGTCCATAGAGCCAGTCGCAGATGTCTAAACTGATGGCCTCTTTTGCAGACCCAAGATTGATATAAGCGTCCTCCATGTAGTTCCGTGCTTCGTCCATGTATGGCCATTGCATACACTCGGCGAATCGTATCAATGCTTCAGAATTGCGGCGGTGTTCTTGAGCAGCGAATAAGTACCGCAGTCCTTGTTGTCTGGGACCTGTAATCGTCACAGACTTCATCCAGGCGGCGCTAGCCACCAACAACGCGGAAATGTTGTCTGTCACAATACCTTGATAACTAATATTGACAGGTTGCTTACGCATTCGAATTAGGAGCTCTGCGCCGATCACGATCTGGAAAAGAAAGCTTTTGCAGCCGATATCCTGATCTTCAGTGCCCAAGACGTGCTGGGTCAGGGTGCGGGATTTAGAGAAGTCTAGGAAGCGCGTGGGATGATCATATAGGCTTCGATTGAGGGCTAGACACAAGCTATCGATGCGCCTCTGTCTAGTACCAGTGGCCGAGAAGCCCCACAACTCACACTCGGTGCTGTGAAGATTTCAGCTATGAGAAAAGAATAGGACTCCAGTGCCAACCTTGATAAGTTCAACAGTTTCTTGAGAGCCTCATCATTTTCCGTGGTCGGTAGCGACTGGATCAGCCGCGCGTGAGTGACGATCTTCTCTAGATCGACTTCTTTGAAGCCCGAGCTCGCCTCCAGGGCCAATTTGACGAGAGGCCGTTTGATCAACTGGTAGGTCCTGTACTCCTCTGAATACCCCTGGATGGCGACAGTACCACCTAGCTTTCCTTCGTAGTGTTCCGAGCTTTCAGGGTCTAGGTCGAGCCAATTGGTCCCAGGTATGTTGTAACTTGAGACCACCATTGACTCTAGAATCCAATAAGCTTTCGCTTCCGAGGGAGTAGATGGGAAGGCTTACTGAATTTATCATGAAGGAAAATGGGCTTCCCAATTTCACGTGTGGTGAGCTCAGCCTGGGTCATGCCTTCGTAGATCAGCTGGACGACATCGATACCATCGGACGTTGTGTAAGGTCTGATACCGATGCAGCCTTTATTCTGCGCTGCGAGGGCAAGATTTAGCTCAGTTGATCGTCTGTTGGCCTCGGTAATGGATATTGACGTGCCCTGAGAGTAGCTAGGAGGGGGTTCATTGGGCTGGGCTGAATTGATCAAATCCTCCCCACTGAATGGAAGTACGGTGGGCGTTGTAGACTGATTGACAGTTTCCACGTTGAAGTTTCTCGTCACCTGTGGCTGGTTAGATTGCTGCAGCGGAGCTGGTTCAGTATTTGCTTGTGTACTGATTTGCGGGGTCGGAGACTGAGGGTCAGAGACTGAATTAATGTTCTGCAAGGACTGGGATCGAGCGGTAGAAGGTTGTCTATTTTGATTTCCAAATTGGTTGACGTTCTGAGTGCGGCTTGGAGGCTTGCTGGCATTAGGTTGAGTCGAGACATGATTTGATGTATTGTTTGGAGCTGCTTGCTGAGGCTGAGAAGTTGTTGTACGGTCTGGGGCGGTTGTCGACGTGCTAGGAGGAGGACCTGTCCCTGAACCCTCTGGTGGCGATGGCGGAGATGGCGTTTGCTGGGTCGACGCAGGATTCACAGGCGACACATGCTTCACAGATTGTAGTAGTCTTTGCAGTTCAAGACGATCTAAGCCACTTGCAAGATCTGCTGCTTTTGTCAAGGCACCTATTGCCTCAGGAATATTTCCCTGACTACGAAGTATCTCGCCTTTTTGCTTCCAAGCCTTCCACTTTGTCTGATCGATCTGGACGGCTTGTTCAGCATCTTGCAATGCCTTCTCTAAATCGGGCGTCCGACGTAAAGTGTGAGCAAAGGAACGATAGAGGAGGGTAGTGACGTCTGAGTGTTCGTAGCTCAGGGCAGTGTCGTACATGGGAATGGCCCCGTCATAGTCGCCCGCTTCGGACAACTCAATACCTCGATCTCGAAACAGTTCTCCATGATTCGGGCTAGGAGATGGAGACAGAGGCGTGTTGTTGCCGATTGGAGGATTGTATCTATTGATCGATTAGAATGTGACTCTAATGAAAGGATCTGGCACTTGCTGGCTTTTCTCCCTATTCTTGCTCTTGAAGAGCTTTGGTATTCTCTTAGACATCTCTGTTGGTTTGACAGAGCAAATCTTAAGAGACTCAATAGGATCTGGGTTATTTGACGTTCAGCTTCAAGATAGGGCACAAGGCTGAAGGGTGAAGAACCGGCCATTACCCCGCACGGAGGACCAACTCATTCCAGGATCTAGCTAGACTAGGGGTTAGTGGGCCAAGAGCTCATTTCGCCTAATTTCTTAGGCGTTTACATAGTATTTTGGCAGCCCCTGCTCCATCATTCCTACAATCATTTCTGTCAATCAGGGGGCTTTTGGAACACCCGCCCACCGTCCCTGTACATAGATCTATAGATACAGACTCTAAAACTACGTCAGTAGGGGGTTTGGCTGGCCTAGGGGCAGCTGTATGGCTTTACCAGCGAGAGAGTCAGTCTTTGGCTGGCGTGGACACTCGACAGCGAGGTTTTCAAACTCCTAAAGCCCTAGGCCGGCACGGCCAATATTAGATTTATGACTCATTACATCATCATGTCCAAGCTCGTCAGACCACTAACGTCTCGAATACAAATTGCTTGGCGCTCGAAGCGAGCGACGGGACGAGTCCAGGTCTGAAGGAGCCTTGGCACAGCTTTCTTAAAAAGACAACGAATAAGAATTTGATGGGGAACATTCGAATAGCCCATGCCGTATTACTGGCGTGTATAAAGTATACTGCTCTCACGCCAAGAATTCTTGTTCCCTTCTGACTTTGCTTTCCTTGAAATGCTTGCTAAACGACAACTAACATAGCCGCTGGTCGAGCCTAAGAGTGCATTCGGTTAGTTTTTCTTGCGCAACTCTCCGATAATAGAACTTTTAGCGTCAGCTTATTAATACATTAAAAGTATCTAAGAAACCTACTATTAACAACTACTTATTCTACTAAACCTAAGCTATAATATAAGGTTCTTATAAAGAGAATACCTATAATATACTTTAGGATTCTTTAGGTATATTAATTTATATTACTTCCTAATTTTAATAATACTTTTAAAATATTAGCTAGCTCTTAATATAAATTATATTTAAGCTTATATCCTAGTAAAAAATACTGCCTAAGCTATATATAATAAATATAAATAGTTTTATATATTATAAAGTAGATCTTAGTCTATAGTTTAGATAATTACTAATAAGCTTATAGTTTCTATACTATCTCTAAGGTTAATTAATAATATTAAGAACTTTTAACTATAATTATTAATAATATTTTATAATATTATAGCTTAGAAATTTATTATATTTATATTATAATTATAGATAATAATTCTTATATTAATAAGGTTATTAAATAATAATAGTTCTAGCTAATAAACTATAATATCTTTTACTATTTATATAGATTTTTAACTATTTATAAAGCTATAAATAAAGATAATACTAGAAGTTAATTAAATTTAATAATATTAAGTAATTAATAGTTTATATTACTTTATAATATTAACTTAGAAAGAGTTATTTATTTATAAACCTAAGGCTAAGATAAATATAAAAGAATTAACTATTATAAAAGCTATATTTAAACTTTAATTCTTATCTTTATTACTTTTAGGCTAGAGCTAATAGACTATAATAATTATTTAACTTATATAGAAGCTATATAATAACTAGTTTAGATTATATATAAGCTAAGTTAACTTAGTAAGTAGTAATAAGCTATAAATATAAAAGAAAGTAAGCTTTAAATAATAAGCTTAAATTTTATAATAGTAAGGTAATATAATTTATATATAAAGCTTTATTAAGAGTATTTATAATAAATATATTAATAATTAAAAAGTAAACTATTTATTATAAAAAGAATATTATTATATAACTAAAGATACTTATAATATATAAACTATTTATAGTTAATAGAATTATAATACTATATTTATTATAAGCGCTATAAATAATATATAGTTAGTTACTTTTAATTAATAATAAATATTTATATATTATAAGTCCTATAAAGTATAATACTACTTTTTTATAATATTCCCTAACTTTATAATCTAGGTCATTCCTATTTTTTATATTATAAAATACTTTTTTTATTTTATTAATATTAACTTTATTTATATTAAATAATATAGTATAAAAGCTAGACTATATTTTTTCTTTATTTATTTTATTCTTATAATAAATTAAAAATTTATAAAGTATTAAAATATAAAACTTTTATAATAAATATATTTATATTAGCTATTCTAGGAAATTTAATATTTTTATTTTAAAATATATTTATAAATAAAAATCTATTTTCTAGAAACTTTTCATATTAATTAAATTTTTTTAAAAAAAATAACTTTAAAATAAAAAAAAATTTTATTTTTAAATTAAATTTATTTTTAAAGAATATAATTTTAAGTATAAAGAAGCTACCTATTATTATTATAAAAAAGCTTAAAAAGCTAAATTACTTTAGTATTATAATAATTAACATTTCTATTATTAGTAATTTATTTAATATTTATTTTCTAATAATATCTTTTAAAGAGATTAATTAAATAATTATTAATTTTAATTTTAATAATTTTTTTATTTAAAACTATATAAATTAAAGCTTAATATTTTCTAAAAACCTTATTTAAAGGTTTTAGTTAGAATAATTACTAATTATATTAAATTAATTATTTATTATTTTAATATCTAATTATAAATAGTCCTAGTTAATAAAACCTTTTTTTATATTAAAGTAGTTTTTTTTTAATACTTACCTTTAATTTTCTATTTTTTTAAAGTTAGTTAACTTTTTCTAATAATAGTATTTTATTTTTATTATTAGAAAACTTTTATTCTTTTTCTATTATTTTATCTTAAGATAAGAAGCTAAGTATTAGTCCTATAATTTATCTTTTTTTTACTTATTAAGTATAATAAAAGTTATTATTATATACTATTTATAAGGTTAGGGATTAATTCTATATTTAACTTATTAACTAAGTTTTTATTAAAATATATTAAATAATTATTTTTTTTAAATATAGTATATAAAGTTTCTAGATTTTCTTTATTTTAAATATATTTTTTCTATAGGATTTTATTAATACTTTTTAAACTTTTTTAAATTACTTTTATAGCTTTACTTTTATTAAGTTTCTTTTTTTAAATACTTTATTAATTTCTAAAAATTTTTTCCTAATTATAGGATATATTTTTTAAGTTTATTATTATAAAATTTTTATATATAAGTAAATAGATTATTTAGTTTTTAAATATTTATTTTTATAATTTATTACTTTTTATAATAAGTAATACTCTTAAGTCTTTATTCTATTCTTTCCTAAGAATAATATAGTTCTTTTTACTATTTATAATTATAAATAATATTATTCCTATTATTTTATATTTTAATTTAATATTAATATTCTTTAATTTTCTATTTTTTATTATATTTTATATTACCTTTAAATATCTTTTAATATCTTTAAATATTAATAAAAATATTTTATCTTTATTTTTATTATTAATAAAAGTAATAGTTTATTTTTTCTAATTTTAATTTCTATAGCTATTATAACTAGTTCTTAATAAAAAATATTAAATTTTTAATTTTTAATTTTTATATTATTCTTTTTTAGAGCTTAAATATCCTAAGGCTTTATTCTAATTTATTTTTTTCTAATTAATATATTTTATAACTTTTATTTATATAAGTTATTTATAAAAGTTAATTATAATTATTTTCTATAATTAGCTTTTTTAGTTATTTTAATCTATTATTCTAATACTTTAATAGCCTTTTTTAAGTAATTTTATTTAATATATCTAGCTTTATTATAAATATAATAAATCTTAATTTATAATCTTTTTCTTAAAATATTAATTTTTATTAGATTTTCTATAGACTGTTTTCCTTTTATTATAAACTTTTTCTTTTATATTTATTTATTAAAGTACTTTTCTTATTATTTATTATTAATCTAAACTATAATTTTAATTACTAAGTTTAATAAATCTAGCTTTTCTATTATTACTATAGTGTTTTTAACTTTATTATATAAGCTTTAATAGAAATAGATAGCTAATACTAAATTATTCTATTTTAATTTAATAAACTAATATCTTAAATACTATTATATATACTAATATTAATATTCTTTATCTTAGGCTCTATAGTATTATAGTTATACTAATTATATTAATATTATAACTATATAGATATAAAGGATATATAAGAATAGTATAAGGAAACATACTAGGTATAAGCCTTAATAAGTAATATATATAATATAGTTAATTAATAATAGATTAATTATTATTTATTTAAGAAGTTATAATAGAAATAAAGCTTTATACTAAGCTAGGTAGAGCTAAGCTAAGCTTAATTAAGAAATTCTTATTTTACTTTTATTATAATCTATAATAGTATATTATTAAAATAATAAAAAATAATATTTTTATTATAAATATAGCCTAATATTTATTTATTTATATCCTAGCTTTTATTTAAAATTATCTTTATTTAATTTAATTAAGTTTTAATTATACTTTAATTCTTTTATACTAAGAAAAGCTTATTTTATTAAAGGCTATATTAGAGTAAAATTAAGTTTAAGTAATTAAGTTAAAAATTATATTAAAAAGGCGTATTAATATATAAAAGAAGTAGTAAGAAATAGAAATTAATTAGTTAAAAAAGAGTATAGAAATTTAGAAGTAGGAAATTATTATTTTAACTAAATTAAAAGATTATATAAAATAGCTAAATAATTAAAAAACTATAGTTTAAATTATTTAAAATTAACAGAAAAGTAATTAGTAGGCTAGGAGCTATATAAAGTAAAGAAAACTAGTTAATTCTAAGCTTAGTAAGATTGTATATTAAAAAAACTATATTAATTATAGTATAAACTATTTAAATAAAAATATAGTTTATAGAGATATAATAATAATAGAAAATTAGCTTATAAAAATATATAAATAGAGCTTATTAATATATATACTATAAGAGCTTATATATATAATATAAAGGATGCTAGTTTAAACGTTCTTTTATATTATCTTTTAATTAGTTAAAAACTATAACTTTAAGTAATATAATTATAACTTATTTCTTTATTTTTTTTATATATATTTAGGCTTAGGAGGATATATTTTAAAAAAATAAGCTTAGAAGAGGAATAGGAATAAAAGTAGCTATTTTCTTTATTTCTTTT